TTATTGAAAAGTTTAAACCCAACAGTAGTCCCAACCATTCCTTAAAGGAGAAATGGTATGATTTGCACAAACTTGAATCTACACTACCTGAGGATGCTTCCATATAAATATGACCAATCATGGCTTTGTTATTCTTGAGAAGAAGATTTTAAAAGAATTTTCCTATATATTTCTATGTAAAACTTTGGTCGGCCATTGTTGCCCCACCCTACCTCGGGGGATCATGATTAGATCAAACTTGAATCTACACTACCTGAGGATGCTTCCATATAAAATGATGAATCATGGCTATATTATTCTTGGGAAGAAGATTTTTAAAGAATTTTCCAATAATATATTTCTATGTAAAACTTTGGTAGGCCATTGTCGCCCCGCCCTACCCCCAGGGGTCATAATTTGAACAAACTTGAATCTACACTACCTGAGGATGCTTCCATATAAATATGATCAATCATGGCTTCGTTATTCTTGAGAAGAAGATTTTTAAAGAATTTTCCTATATATTTCTATGTAAAACCTTGGTTGGCCATTGTGGCCCCGCCCAACCCCCCGGGGGTCATGATTTGAACAAAATTGAATTCACACTACCTGAGGATGCTTCCATATAAATATGATCAATCATGGCTAAATTATTCTTGAGAAGAAGATTTTTAAAGAATTTTCCAATAATATATTTCTATGTAAAACTTTGGTAGGCCATTGTGGCCCCGCCCTACCCCCAGGGGTCATAATTTGAACAAACTTGAATCTACACTACCTGAGGATGCTTCCATATAAATATGATCAATCATGGCTTCGTTATTCTTGAGAAGAAGATTTTTAAAGAATTTTCCTATATATTTCTATGTAAAACCTTGGTTGGCCATTGTGGCCCCGCCCAACCCCCCGGGGGTCATGATTTGAACAAACTTGAATCTACACTACCTGAGGATGCTTCCATATAAATATGATCAATCATGGCTTTTTTATTCTTGAGAAGAAGATTTTTAAAGAATTTTCCTATGTAATTCTATGTAAAACTTTGGTCGGCCATTCTGGCCCCACCCTACCCCCGGGGGTCATGATTGAATCTACACTACGTGAGGATGCTTCCATATAAATATAACCAATCATCATGCTTTGTTATTCTTGAGAAGAAGATTTTTAAAGAATTTTCCCATATATTTCAATGTAAAACTTTGGTTGGCCATTGTGGCCCCGCCCTATTTTCCTACCCCCGGGGGTCATGATTTCAGATTTGCACAAACTTGAATCTACACTAAGGATGCTTCCATATAAATATGACCAATCATGGCTTTGTTATTCTTGAGAAGAAGATTTTTAAAGAATTTTCCCATATATTTCTATGTAAAACTTTGGTCGGCCATTGTGGCCCCGCACAAACCCCGGGGGTCATGGTTTGAACAAAATTGAATTCACACTACCTGAGGATGCTTTCATATAAATATGACCAATCATGGCTTTGTTATTCTTGAGAAGATTGATTGATTGATTGTATACTGTTTAACGTCCCTTTCCAGAATATTTCACTGATATGGAGACGTCACCATTGCCGGTGAAGGGCTGCAAATTTAGGCCTATGCTCGGCACTCAGGGCCTTTGAGCAGGGAGGGATCTTTATCGTGCCACACATGCTGTGACACGGGGCCTCAGTTTATACGGTCTCATCCGAAGGACCGCCCTATTTAGTCGCTTTTTACGACAAGCAAGGGGGTACTGAGGACCTATTCTAACCCGGATCCCCACAGGACATTCTTGAGAAGAAGATTTTTAAAGAATTTTCATATGTATTTATATGTAAAACTATGGTCGGCCATTGTGCCCCGCCCTACCCCCGGGGGTCATGATTTGAACATATTTGAATCTACGCTACCTGAGGATGATTACACATGAGTTTCATCTTTCCTGGCACAGTGGTTCTTCAGAAGAAGATTTTTTTGAAAATGCCATTATTTTTTCACTAATTCATAATTATCTCCCCTTGGAAGAGGGCGTGGCCCTTCATTTGAACAAACTTGAATCCCCTTCACCCAAGGATACTTTGTGCCAAGGTTGGTTGAAATTGGCCCAGTGGTTCTTGAGATGAAAATGTGAAAAGTTTACAGACAGACGGACAGACGGACGCCGGACAAAATGTGATCAGAAAAGCTCACTTGAGCTTTCAGCTCAGATGAGCTAAAAAAGCAAGGGGACGTTTAAAAAGAAAAAATAAACAAACCATTTAAGAGATTTCTAAACACCATGAAATCAACAATGAAAGATCAATAATCTAATGATAGAGTAGGAAAGAAGAGGGATATCCGTGGACAAAAGATTAAGGAGACAACAAACAACCCATGAGTAGAGGCATGCTACATGAATGATATATTTAATCTTTGCCACAAAAACACGCACAGGGGAAAGGAATTAGCATAGCTAAGGAGGAAACAACAAGAATATGTACAAGCCTTCAAATTCGAGATAGAGCGTCTACTCTAGAGTCGTGAAGTAAGGAGTTGATCCTTACATCGCGGATTCGAATCCCACTGTGGGACGTGGAGACCCCTTCGGATGAGACCGTATAAACCGAGGTCCCTTGTCGCAGTAGGTGCTGGCACGAAAAAGATCCCTCCTTGCTCAATGGTCCTAAGTGCCGAGTATAGGAGAAAATTTGCAGCTCTCCACCGGCAAGTGGTGGCATCTCCATATGTCTAAGTGAATATTCTCGAGAGGGACGTTAAACACCATACAATCAATCAATCAAATTCGAGATGCTCTTTACTTTAAATGGACAGATTCTGAAGATATCATCGATTTTTAACAACCTCATCAAATGTTTAGTAAATGGTACGACGAAACCAAAAAGGAAATCAACAAAAGGAGACTTCTAGAACAAGAAGCAGCAGAGTCTGCTTTCTGTCGACAAAACTTGACTTTTCTTTGAAATATGAAACGTGTTCTTTCATCGTGAAATCCAACATCGACAAAACAACCTATACAGGGGAATGAAAGGAAAACTCAGTTGGTGTTCCCGACAATGAATAAGAGTATCGTCGTACTTTTCATTAGTTACTTTTTACAAGACAATCAAGTTGTGCTCACCTCTTCATCAGTAGTCAAAGACTGGGAAAACTGGGAAAGCTCGCCTCGCAATGATCTGCACAAACTACAAAGGTTCAAATATAAGATAAGTGACTACAAGGGTCCAAATATAAGATAAAAGGGAGTATATCTACAGTCGAAGCGGAAAGCATCCTATGCAAGATCAGAAACGGAATCAAGAATTCGCAGTAAGGACATTGTGGGAACTGTCCGTGAAGGGAGAGGCTTAACCACTGAGTTAACAAGACGGATCAGGGCTTCAGACAAAGATATTTTAGGATACAACTAGACAGAAAGGTGATTCAACTAGAACAAGATTTGAAATATCCAACTAGTAGGGATGGGAAGCCAAGGAAACTGGACTATATGGAAAAATTAACAGAGTATGCTGACATTTAGTGATCCGTGAATATTGAGGAAAACATTTTTCATACACCAGTTTCTAGCATGAGCTTTTGTTGTATTACCAATATCAACAAATAAGGGAATTAGAGGAATGGCAGAGACCGATGTACCCTCTATGCCAAGAGACAAATTGTCATCTTGTCAAGTTCCCAATACCAATAGAAAGTTCAGGTGGAAGCATGAACATGTCTTCAGAACACCAGTCCATACAAAGTACGTTAGAGACAGAGTTGTAGAAGAACAATAAAAACCAATTTCAACCATATACTTTCCTCGCAAGTGGAGGCAGACAATGGGGCCACCACAAAACACAGAGTTGGCAAACTGAACGTAGCAAAATACTGAAAGCTGCAAATCACCATTGAAAAGAAGCTAATATTCCGACTGATAGTACACACCACCAAATGACCTGGTTTTCCAATAATATCTGAGGACAGGAAGAAAACCATTGACTACAATATCATAAGTATGAATGTCAGGGGACAAGTACAAACTTACAAATGCTGATTATCTGACACGTACTGAAAGCAAGAAGGATAACAGAAATAGAACTTCTCGGTGGAAATCAGTATGTCCATCAGCATTAAAGTGGGGGAGGATGGCAGCGCTGCGATAAAGTGACAAAAGGAGATAAAGGCAGTCAGCGCTAAAGCCACGGAGGCCTAGAAGACATCCAACTGGCTGGTGCTACGTAGAGAAGATAGTACTGGGAACGTAATCGTTGTTAGTATTAAAAAACTAATCAACTTCTGCTTACCCGCCATCGTTGCAGATCAGATGATGAACCGTCTTGAGACGAATGGGTCCGGCTGATGACTCGAGACCAAATAGTTCAGGTACTATTCATTTTATATTAATTTAATGGAATTTTTTATCGAAAAGAATATTGCTAGTCTGCTTAAGGGCAGACCTACAAAGTACCGTATATTCTTAAATATTTTATTTCAGAATTGTAAAGGTACTATTATTTATAATAATCAAAGGATATCAAATTTTTAACGTCCCTTTCGAGAATTTTTCACCCATGTGGAGACGCCATCACATGGAGTTAAAGAGCTGCAGATTTTAATCTGTACTTTGCACTCAGAGAGCTGCGAAGGTTTAAACAGTCTAATTCAAAGAACTGATCACCACGTCCCACAGTGGGATTGGAACCCACGACGTAAGGAACAATTCCTTGCTCCGCAACTCTAGAGCAGACGCTCTACGACTGCCCACACGAGCACAAATAAATGAATTATGGATTTGAAAGTAAAGCTTTTAAGGAGGTCTGTGATTAAATCCAGATTATGACTACCGATGAATTTAATCAAAAGAACCAACTTGTCAATATTTAAAATAAAATTTCGAACATTATTCATAGAATAAGGAAAACGGACAGTAACGTACGTAGTGTTAATATTTTGACAGCACCTTCAGACATATTAAATACCGATTACATAAAATTAAGAACTATGAAAAATGTGTGGTCTCAATAAAAGAAACAAATTAATTAAGCACATTTCTCATCTTACCAGTAGCAGGTGCCCCCAGATTGGGTGATGGGGTCCTAACTGCACCATCCTGTCGGTGATGGTCTTCATTTTTCTGTAACGTGTGTAGAAGCGGACCAGGTAAGACAAACCGAACACAGCCAGGAGAGTTATTAAAATGGTGGTAATCATGGCTAAAACAAACTCCTATCTCCAACCACTGGAAAATGAAAAGCACTGTAAAATGAAATGTCAAATAAACGCTATCTTTATTAATTTATCTAAGAATCAATGAATATCCATGACCAATTTCTCTACAGGACGAACACTACGTTCCTGTCGCGACCCAAACCACTATGCACAAGCTTTCCTTTAGTCCACGATACAATTAGAGCTTTGGAATGATCTTTCGCGATGAATACCCGCAAAAGAACCCTTCAAATTTAAAACTCTTTATTAAACACAAACGCTTAAAAAAAAAAAAAACGGCCAAACATTCCCTATTTAAGGAACAGATATCAGATACACATACGACACAGAATGTTTTGTAGTACTCAGAATTCTGACTTTTTTTCCAAAACTCAAACTGTGTTAGTAGAAAAATTGAAACAACGACAAATATCTCGAATATCACTCTATAATGACCAAGGTGGAGAAAACATTTCTACATCAAAAAATCTAAGTTTTTATCCCTGTGGTCGGTCATCTAGTTGAATAAATAGATGCTTAAACTTGTGATCACATGACAATGTAGATCATGCGTTTCTCATCGAATATAGTTTTAAAAACTGCGCACCATACATCGATTGACCATATACAACGATGTCAATGATTAAATAATACGTTACACCAAAGAGATCATGTTAAGTCTGTCGTCAGAAATAATGCATCAAATTTATTAGGAAAATATTTAACCGAGGTTTATCCATGTCACTTACCCTAGTAACAGTTCTATCATAATATTTGATGTAAAATGTGTAATGTCCACCCTTAAGGCTCTGTTAAACAGTTACAGCGTGAAGTCCGACAAAGTACGGAACACGGATACGAACATACATGTATTTAACGTACGTGTACTTTAAATGTTTAAAGTCCCCTATATCACATGCAATTTGTTAAGTTCTGTGTTCCGGGTAAATATAAACATGTAGTTGCATTTGACACATGATTGTTTCTGGAGGGAATAAAGCACTGCTCTCAGGCTAGATATCAAGGGTATAGGTACATGCCGTGTTTCTGGAGGGTATAGAGCACTGCTCGAGCTCTAGACATCAAGTCAAGGTACATGCAGTGTTAATGGAGGGAATAGAACACTGCTCGAGCTCTAGACATTGATGGTACATGCCGTGTTTCTGGAGGGAATAGAACACTGCTCGGGCTCTAGACATTGATGGTACATGCCGTGTTTCTGGAGGGTATAGAGAACTGCTCTAGACATCAATTCAATTCAATTCAATTTCTTTATTGATTCACCAAACATGTTGGCATACAACCATGTTACATATAAAAGACAAATAATAAAATACATACATACATGCAAGTGTATGGATCAGTGAAGTCAACTATGCAGAGTAAATATTACAACTTGTAGATTAAATATAATCATTATGCAAACAGTATAGTATGGACAGTGATGAGCTAGTAAATGCATTAAATATATAAATTATAATTGCGCTTTATTTTTGGAACGCAATTCAAAACATTCATATAAAAATTCACATAGCCTTCTAGAATGAACTGCATTGTCAGGACTACAAAATAATTTACAATGATTTTCTTTCAATATGTTATCGTTTAAATTACAGATGTTCAAAGGACAGTACTTTTTTTTCGTAAATCTGTATATAAGGGACAGTCATATAATATATGAAATGTATTTCACTTTCTACAACAGTTTTACAATAGTGACAAAAACGCGATTCTTTTGGGATAAAAGGCTTTGAATATCTGCCTGCAGAAATTCTCAGTTTTGTTAATTTAGAACGTATAGCTTTATTTATTGGATATTTTAAGTAGTCTTGTAATTCATAATTCTTTCTAATTTGACTGAAAAATAATAATTTACCACATTTGGAGAATTCAATGTTCTGAAGTTGCAAATTAACATTTTTTATGTAAAAATTCTTCAAGCAGCTGCTGAATGTGTAATCAGTTATATCTAATGAGGGAAGGTTAAGTTTCTTTTTTAATTTATCAATCTGACTTTGCCAATTATCCTTTACACCATTACTATATAGGTTGTCATCTTCTAAGGAAGCAGCAATAAGAATTTGATTTCTAGTGCCATTTTTATTCTGAACATTTTTTAGTCTCTTATAGTATTTAAACATTGAGATGATAGCTTTGTAACAAATAGGGACTGTTCCTAGCTCATACTTAATGGCTAAATTTGAAGCTTTTCTCTGTACACCCAAAATATCTTTAAATATCAAATGCTGTATCTTTTCAAAAGGTAATTGATCACAATTGTTTATATTAATATTAAAGTCTGAAATCCATATCTCAGAACCATACAAAATGATAGGTTCAATAAGTGAAGTATATAATTTTAAAAGAGTTTTTACAGATAAGTTATTATGAAAAGGTAAAGAGTGTTTCATTGCATAAAAAGCTTTTCTTGCACGGTCAGCTAATTGTTCAGCTGCATACTTAAGCTTACCATTATAAGTAAAAATAATTCCCAGATATTTATATTCATGTTCAAGATGAACTATTGAATGATTATAATAAAAACAATAGTGAGTAGTGTCAATTTTCTTATTTGAGAAAATCATTGCTTTAGTTTTATCAGAGTTAACAGTCAATTTTGATTTTAGGCAATATTCTGAGAGACAGTCTAATGAGTTTTGGAGACCTTCTTTTGTAGTAGAGAGGAGAATTAGGTCATCTGCAAAGAATAAATGTCCAACTTCAATATTTTGTAATTCAGGAGGACTTGTGTTATAATTAATTAAGTGTGAGTAGAAGTCATCAATAAATATATTAAAAAGAATAGGGGAAAGATTATCTCCTTGTTTAACCCCACGTGTAGCTATCAAATGTTCACTATAGTAATATTCATCTTTACAACAATATTTAGTACTCGAGTACATACCATTTATAATATTGTAAAATTTCCCACCTATGCCCTTTTGGTATAGTTTGTGTAACATTAAAGTACGATCAACTGTATCAAAGGCTTTAGTAAAATCCACAAAACATGCATAAATGTTTTGTTTCTTCCATTTTAAATACTTATTTATAAGAGTTTTTAAAATAAATATATTATCTGTGGTACGGTGGTTTCTTCTGAATCCAAATTGATAATTACTCAGTAGGTCAATTGTTTCCAAGTATGAATTTAGGCGGCATTGTAAAAGTCCATTAAAGAGTTTCCCCATACAGCTTGTAAAACTTAATCCTCTATAGTTCGATGGGTTACATGGGTCACCAGATTTATAAATAGAAGTTATACCAAATTCCAGGCTTCAGGTATTTTCCCAGTAAAAAGAATTTTATTAAAGAGTTTTGTCAATATATTTAGAAATGTACTTGAACCACTTTTAATAAACTCATTGAGAATTAGATCTTGTCCAGGTGATTTACCATTTTTTAGACTTTTAATGCCAAGTTTGACTTCACTGCATGTGAAAGGGTAGTCAAGGGGAGTAAGTTTCTGAATTTCAGATTTATCTACATATTCACAGGAATTACCGCCCTTAGAGCACAATAAGTTTTGATAGTGATTCATAAATGCTTGAAGTCCTGGATTGGAAGAATTTGAGTTTTGTTTAATTTTATTTTTGTTTAGGACCTTCCAAAAATCTTTTGAATTGTTCTGATTTAGATTGTCGATGTTGTCAGCTTATAAAATTCATGTTTTGATTTCTTTTTCATTCTGTTAAATTCCCGTTTAGCATTTGCGAAAGCCTGTAATAAATTACAATCTTTAGGGTTTATTTGAATTCTTCTTCCAAGTTTGCGGACTTCTCTTTTTAGTAGAGATATATCATTAGACATCCAAGGTTCTGGTTTTCTCTTGTTTATTTTTCGATTATGTATTGGTGGTTTAAAGAGAAGTGTTTTAGATGCAGCTGTTAAATATATTTTAGTTAATTTATTGTTAATATCATCAATACTTAAGTCTTTCTCATTTAGACTATTATCAAGTTCAATTAGGCTGTTTGTGCTCTCTACATCAACAAGGGCTGTTTGGTAAGCAAGTTTACATTGATTAGACCAAATGTACTGTCCTTTCAATGGGGTAGATCTACATTCAATATATGATTCACATGTAACTGGGCAATTAAAAGCCCCACACTTAAAACTAGTACAAATAATGCTATGATCAGACAATTCTGTAGGTGGTAAAACATTGAAATACAGTATATTATGTAAAACATGGCTGGTAGCCAACATGTAATCAACACAACTAGAACCATTAAAATTATAAAATGTACAATAACCAAGGGAAACACCAAGGAATCTTCCATTAAGAATTCTAAGGTTTAAAGTTTTGCACAGGGTAGATAAAAGTTCACCATGTAAATTGGTTTGATTATCAGTATTATTGCGTGGCAAAATAGAGTCGGGTGAGTAGTCTAGAGGCACAGGGCAGTCAGAAAATGTTTCATTTATAGAATCATGTGGAATAAAATCAAGTAGATGTCCAGTGCGTGCATTGAAGTGTCCACTTATTAATACTTCTCCAAGTGACTGAAAATGGGAAACTTCAGTAGTAATTTGAGAAAAAATATTTTCAGATATATCTTTTGATTTGTATGGTTTAACATAACAAAAACACAAGTAGAGTGTTTGTGACCTACAGTTTGGAATAATAACATTTTCTACTTTTATCCATAAAGAGTTATCAGTATCAAGAGCATATATAGACTAGATATCAAGTGAAGGTGCATGCCGTGTTTCCGGAGGGAATATCTAGAGAATTGGTCTAGATATCAAGTAAAGTTTCATGCAGTGTTTCTTGGGTGGGAATAGAGCACTGGTCTAAGATATCAAGTGAAGGTACCTAACGTGTTTCTGGAGGGAATAGAACACTGCTCTAGATATCAAGTGATGTTATATGCATGCAATGTTTCTGGAGCCGGGGAATAGAGCACTGCTCTTGATATCAAGTGAAGATACATGCAATGTTTCTGGAGGGAATAGAGCACTGCTCTAGATGTTTTAAAAGTGAAGTTACATGCTTGGTTTTTGGGAGAACTGCTCTACCTAGATATGAAGTGAGGTTACATGCAATGTTTCTGGAGGGAATACCGGTAGAACACTGCTCTAGATATCAAGTGATGTTTAAGGCAACTCTCTTGAGTAATAAATAATAAATTAACTAATAAGACAATTTGATTTCCATTTAATGAATTATGTTCTAAACTAAGAAAACCAAGAGATCTGTACATTCTTTGGAACCTGAAACTGGCAATTATTCAAAAGCCGTGTCTCATTTTTGTCACCCATCTAAAACTGATTTAGAAGTTGTAATACATTTCACATTCGATGTAAGTTTTCTTAATGAAATCTACAACGTTCAAATTTCTGCTCTAAGGATACCCAACATTAAGAATTCTTTGCTTAAATGATTGCTGTACAGGTGTACATACAAAGATTTGTGGATTGCAGAAAAATTATTGGTTTGAGGGCATTTTATTTTATACTTATAGATGAAGAAAAACATTGATATTTTTAATTAAAAAATACATATTACCGGTAATTTTTGATAAGGATTTGAAATTGAATGGAAAATTGAACATCCAAAAAAATAGTGATTTCACTGTTATTGCCATTGCATTAGGAAAAGAGGAGCAACCCCCCCCCCCCTTAATTTTGCCAATATATAGTCAGCATGAAGAATGGGGTAATTGTAATCAGGAATTGTTACTAGCCCAAATTAATTACACTTTTCTGTGTAATCATGAGAAATCAGTTTTAACCACTCATTTTAGCTCTACTGGTCAGAGACCAGAAGATCTTATGCGATAGTAATTCGTCCGTCGTCCTTCCGTCTGTCTGTCGAGCTGTCTATCCGTCTGTCTGTCTGTCTGGAAACAATTTTTTTCAAAATGCTACACCTCCTACAGTTTTGGTCTGATCTCAATATAACTTGGCACACAAGTAGACTACACTAAGATACATGTACATAATTCTGTGTATCGGTTTTGGATTTCGATGAATGGTGTTCACATGGTTACTAAAAATAGAAATTTCTGTGAAATACTTTCCAAAATGCTACTCCTCCTACAGTTTTGGTCTGATTTCAATATAACTTGGCAAACAAGTAGACTACACTAAGATACATAATTCTGTTTATCGGTTTTTGATTTCGGTGAACGGTGTTGCCATGGTAACTAAAAATAGAAATTTCTGTGAAATACATTTAAAATGCTACTCCTCCTACAGTTTTGGTCTGATTTCCATATAACTTGGCACACAAATAGACTACATTAAGATACATAATTTTTTTTTATCTGTTTGATTTCGATGAACGGTGTTGCCGGGGTTACTAAAAAAAAGAAATTTCTGTGAAATACTTTTAAAATGCTATTCCTCCTAGAGTTTTGGTCTGATTTCAATATAACTTGGCACACATGTAGACTTCACTAAGATACATAATTCTGTGTATCGGTTTTTGATTTCGATGAACGGTGTTCCCATGGTGACTAATAATAGAAATTTCTGTGAAATATTTTCAAAATGCTACTTCTCATACAGTTTTGGTCTGATTTCAATATAACCTGGCACACAAGTAGACTACACTAAGATACATCATTCTGTGTTTTGGTTTTTGATTTCGATGAACGGTGTTCCCGTGGTTACTAAAAATAGAAATTTCTGTGAAACACTTTCAAAATGCTACTCCTCCTCCAGTTTTTATCTGATTTCAATATAACTTGGCGCACAAGTAGACTACACTAAGATACATAATTCTCTTTATCAGTTTTTGATTTCGGTGAATGGTGTAGCCATGGTTACTAAAAATAGAAATTTCTGTGAAATACTTGAAAAATCAATTCCAAATCACAGTTTTAGTCTGATTATAGTACATGTATAATTTGGCATGCAAGTAGTGTACACTGAGATACATGATCATTATTCTGTTTTATATTGTTGTTGTGAAATTTCAAGTCACAACTGCCACTTTTCTTTGTTTAAAGTACAAACCAGTAGAGCTACAGTCTTGACAGAGACTTCTGGTTTCTTTTAAGAAATTGGAATTTAATTAAAAACCCTATAAAAAAGTTCTGACATCTTGATAAATTTTGATTATGTCTTTGATTATAATGGTCAAAATAAAACCAATTTCATTCATATTCATGGAATAATTTTCAGTCTAGAAATGTGCATTTAGCAAGATCTTTTGTCTACTATATCCTCCTGCCAGAAATCTCTATAAATGCTTACTGTTTTGTGCCCAAAATGGAAATTACATTTTAAGGGCCTATCATCCTACATTTCAAACATCATTAAAAAAAATCATTGTAAAATATTTTGTATGTAGTTTGAACCAGAAAAATATGTAAAGTTTTCCATGAATATTATGATTTGCATTGCATTTTAAAAGTAGAGTGCAATAACGCATATTTTCTATATTTTGTCAAAATAATGCTGTATGTCAAATGATTATCTATGAAATTAAAGGTGTGTACATAGTGTATGGCTTCACAAAGATGTATGTTCTTACTATATGAAAACAATGTGTTGCATGGTTTCTTTTGTGAAACATGAAAAGTGAAATAAATAAAATATTTTAATTGTGAAAAAATAACTGTTCTTATGCATATTTCACTTACATATCTTAAGCATTAGAGGTGTAACAATAAGGTGATACAACAATCATATTCAATTGATTGCAAGGTCTCACGATATGCATATCATATCGCCATGTATGTATCGTGATACAGTAAAAGTTAATTTACATTGTCTTATTCGAAAATTCTACACACAAACCAAGAGATGTTAATGTTTCAAAATGATTGAAAACAAGGTAACAACAGAAAAATACAATGCTAAGACTAGAAGTCCACCTATAAATTACTGGTTAGGGGTCTCAAGATATTTTTTTAACAAGTTTGGAGGTTAGCAAGCAAGACTATATAAAGAGATCAGTTAATTTAATTGTTGACAGCTGTATCAAGAATGATGATACATGTTGTATCGCATGACCATATTGTGATATGTATGGTACCGTAGGCAACTTGCTATACCCTGGCCTATTAAGCATTTCAAAGAGAACTGGTTCATAGTTCAACTGAGGAATTGTGTCAAATTTTCATTCCGTTCACGACATTTTAACTGTTACTTAATGTTTGTCTGTTAATTAAAGGTTATGCAGATTATAAGCAGTTTTTTAAGTATACATTTTACCAGAGACAATGTAAGAATAAGCAGTTATACATCAAGAAAAATGTACATGCAAAATTGTTCATAATAATTTTATTTATCATTCATATTTATGATACAACAAAACTGGCTAATTTTAACATACAGTCATAGTTTTTTTTTTCAACATCAACCTGATATTCACAATGTTGCATTGTCTAATGCACACTTACAGCATGCCTAAACACACTTAACGTCACACAATCAGTTGCTTCCCGTATTATTCTAATTCGACAACACCCCCGACGGCCTCTATGGTCGATTTAAGTTTCTCAGCCTCTTCCTTCATGATATCAGCCTTTACGACTTGCGGCACAGCTTCCACGAATTTCTTAGCTTGAACAAGGTTAATGTCAGGAATGATGTTTTTAAGTTCCTTTATTAGTGTGATTTTCTTTGAATCGTCGAACTTGACCAGCTTGACTGTGAATGCGTTCTTTTCCCTCTTGGGGGCCACCTCCTCCTCCTCTTCTTCTTTAGGGGCCGCAACGGCAGGTCCTGCCATGGCCATCACAGGACCATCTTTAATCTTAAGTCTTGTTTTTAAAAGCTCATTCAAATCACAAACTTCTAGTAAAGTTAACTGACTTATCTCATCCACAATTCTTTCGATTTTGGGTGAGTACTCTTTCTCCGTTCCTTGAATATGCGGTTCCTGTAACTGCTCTGCCGCAGAACTGTACTCCCTTCTGGGATTCAATAGAGCTGTACATAATCTTTGTGACTGTCTTTCCCTGTTCTGTTTGTTGAAATGACGAGAAATATTGTAAAAAATCCGTAATGACCTGTGAGATCTCATAGTTTTGTAAGCCAGCATGGTGACCATTTGACCCCCTTTGCATTAATTGACTTTCAAACCCGATAAGAAATAATTGTGTTCAAAAAAGTAAATGCTTTGACCAATCAGCTTAACACTGCTTAAGAAATTCTATCATGATAAACCATATCAGTGTTTATGTTAGATTTTATAACATGTTTTAGTTATGTAAAAACTATATTTTCATCCATCAATCGAAAAAATATTAAAATCTAATTTCAATCGGGTTCGCTAAACAAGTTTCAGTTATTTCCCTTTTCAACGAGAAATCGTACACAAAAACACGTGTGACATGGGAGGGGAGAGGAAAAAGAAGGTTTGTATTGATATCATTTGTTTTTACTCCAAAGTAATCAGTTATTTGGAAGGACATAAAGTGAAAAAACTGTAGCTCTATGTTTCGAAAAAAGAATAAAAAGATGATTTATTAAAAACAAAATATTGTACCTACCTGTATACCAGCAGTAGATATTTATATAAAACTATCAAAGAAGGGTAGTACATTGTTAGGTATCTATATTCAGGATTATTGAACAGTAGCTAAAATGAAATGTTTACCGGAATATATGTCATTTATAAGGTAAGATTTATGTGTTGCAACAGATAGATCATAGGACAGATCAGGAACATACTAAAGACCTGATATACTAAAGACCTGATATTTTCTTCTTCTTCTTCTTCCGGTAGGGAGTTGAACTCTATACAGAGTGTTGATAACTCCAGCTCGGTTAAAAACAGGAGGCTTCCCCTTTAAAAACGGTTAAAACTATATACAATGTGGCTGTCTTGTCTACCAGGGTTGCAGCTGGGTCCAGGGGACGCTGTTTAGTCCAGTCCTGAACTCCTGTATAGTAGGGGCTGCTGTAATTTCCTCTGGTAGGCGGTTCCAGTCTCTCACCGACCGTGGGAAGAATGAATTCTTGTAGACCTCCTTGGTGGCACGAGGCTGTCTGTATCTATGGCTACCTCTAGTTCTTCTGTCTCCGGGTGTATAGTACTTGTCTGGGTTGATGTCCACCAGGCGATTCCTTATTTTATAGCATAGGACTAGTTGATGTGTTGTTCTCCTATGCTGGAGTGAGTCCCACTCTAGTTGTTCAATAAAATTACGCACCCGGGGGAGGTATCCGTGTACTGATTAAAGACGAACCTATATAACGTTGTACCTGCTCTAGATCCTTTGTTAAGTTGGTCTGGTAGGGATCCCATACTGGTGACGCATATTCGATCGATGGTCTGATCATGGTACAGTATGCTGTTGCTTTAACTGTTGGTGTGCACTGGCCAAGGTTTCGTGAAAGGAAGCCCAGAGTTCTTGTAGCTTTCCCTATCTTAGTGTGTATATGGTTGTTCCACTGTAGGTCTTGGGAGATGGTAACACCAAGATACTTCCCACTCTCCACCACTTCCAGCTGATGTCCATGCAGGGTGTATGATGTTTGCAGTGGTTGTCTTTTGTTGGAGATCCGAATGACTGTGCACTTTTCGGGATGGAAGCACATCTGCCACTTCTTTTCCCATCCTTCTAAGGCTGTGAGATCTTTCTGTAATTTGTCAGCATCTCTCTGGTTTCGGATCTGTCGATATACGAGACAGTCATCCGCAAACAGTCTGGCGTCTGATTTGGTGCACTCAGGAAGGTCGTTTATGTAGGTTAGGAAAAGGAGTGGTCCCAGGACAGTTCCTTGTGGCACTCCGGAAAGGACATCCAACGGTGAAGATGTATGCCCATCCAGTACCACTGATTGGGTTCTCCGACTTTGGAAGTCCTTTATCCAGCCTAGAGTGGTGCCTGACACTCCGTAGTGCTCCAATTTCAGTAGGAGACGTTGGTGGGGGACTTTGTCAAAAGCCTTTGAAAAGTCCAGAAGTATCACATCTGTCTGGTATCCCTGGTCCATGTTTTTGGCTAACTGGTCTAGTGTTATAACAAGTTGTGTCTCACATGATCGGCGGGCTCGAAAACCATGTTGCTCATCACAGAGGATGTTGTTCCGATCGAAGTGGTCCATAACTGTGCTGTGTACAACATGTTCCAGGAGTTTACAGGCTATGGATGTTAGAGAGACCGGCCTGTAGTTTGATGGTATGATGTTTCTCCCCTTTCTTATATATAGGGACGATGTTTGCTCTACGCCATTCATCTGGTATCTGACCGTGATCTAAGGAAAGCTGGAACATCCTTGTCAGGTATGGGGCTATGGACTCTGCACTTTGCTTCAGGATGATCGCTGGAATCTCATCGGGTCCAGTAGCTTTGTATGGGCGTAGTCCCTGTAGTAGTTTCAATATTCCCCTCTCGTTAATGGTTATGCTGTCCATAGTAGGGAAGGGGCTAGGTCCTAGATCGGGTAGAGTACTCAAGTCCTCTTGCGTGTATACAGATTGGAACTGCTCATTCAGGATCGAGGCTTTACTGGCAGTATCGCTACGGAGGAAACCGTCTTTGGACTTCAGTGTCACAATCTGGGATGAGTCCTGCTTCCTATTTTTAATATAAGTCCAAAACCGTTTAGGATTGGTACGCAGGTCATCGCTGACGACATCCTCCAAGTAAGCTGTGTGTGCCCTCCTGGATTCTCTCTGTAGTTGCCTTTTGAGTGCCTTGTATCGCTTGTTGTCTTTTGAATCTTTACTGCGCTTAGCACGTTTGTAGGCTTTCTGTTTCCTATTGCTTAGGCGTCTTAACTCAGAGGTCATCCACGGGTGGGTATGTTTAGCCAGAGTACGTCGAGATGGTACATGATGTTTTACAGCTCCTAATATAAGATCCTTAATGTACCCCCACATGCTGTTGACATCTTCAAAGTCGGTATGTGTGAAGGTATCTAATTGACTCTCGAGCTCGTCTCTAATGCCGTTGGTATTGGCTTTCTTCCACAGATAGATGGTTCTCCTTTTTGGCCGTGGTCGAGATATGTGGGTTGTGAAGTCTAGGAGTACCACATCGTGATCGCTGTTACCAAGTGGTGGGATGGTCTTACATCGACTAAGTTTCCCGGGATGGGATGTTAATAGTAGATCCAAGATGTTCTCTCCTCTGGTCGGGATATCTACTACTTGTTGCAGGTTTAGGTCGGCAGTCATCTGCATGAAGGCGTTGTTTATTTCCCTTGATGTTTGGGAACCATTGATTACATATTTATCCCAGTCGATGTCTGGCAGGTTGAAATCACCTCCTAGTATGAAGATGTTATTCTTGTGTTGAGAGCGCAGCTCACTTATATTATGTATAACTTTATCTGTTGTATGCTGATCTTGCCTATTTGGTGGACGGTAGAGGCATGATAAAATCACTTTCTTTCGGGGGCTTATGTTGATGCTACCCGAATTTTGATCTGATGAAAAAAAAATTATCAATTTAAACTTTCTATTTCATATTTTTGAGGGAAAATTATTGATGATAATATTTGAAACTATATTAAATTACATTTTTAGTGGATAATATGTAGATTATTTTGTATATATAATTATATATCAAGATATATTCACAAAACTTGATGACCTGATAATTTTGAGTGACCTGATACATCTACTTTAAAGACCTGATATTCTTAAATGAAATAGAATTGCTGCAAATATTCAAATTTTAAAAGGTTTAACTGTTTTATTTTTCTGAAAATATGCAGTAATAATATAATTATTTAGTATAAATTTAGTATAGTTTCATCAATAATTTTCCAACTTATGTTTGAAATATAATCTTTAAATTGATGATTTTATATGATTTATTTTTCATCAGGTCAAAATATCAGGTCTTTAGTATATCAGGTCTTTAGTATGTTCCGACAGATCATGAGATTAAAAAAAAAAAAACTTACATGTATATATAATATCCTTTGACAAAATTTTAGAAAAATCATAGAAATAAAGTTGAGTTTGTGTCTTAGTTTGGTATTGTATGTTGCAGTATGAGCGAGGAGAAGCTACAGCGTTTATGTCCAGAAATCAAGCTGTCAACAAACTCCAGCTGACTCTGGCTGATTTCAGGTAAACATGTCTGATCAGTACCAGGGAATGGGGTTTAATTCCTATCATAAATCATATGTTTATTTAATATAGATAGGTATATCTTGTATCTTTGTATGTTGAAAAAGTTTTAAAAGTTATTAAATAAATTATGCTATCAAAATATATAAAAACTTATTCTTTTGAAGACGCTTATGCATTCTAAAAGGAATTTATCCTCATGAACCCAAACACAAAAAGAGGGTGAACAAGGGAAGCACAGTGCCTAAGACCTACTACTTAGTCAAAGACATCAACTTCCTGGCTCATGAACCGATCATTAACAAGTTCAGGGAGTTTAAGGTAAGAGATCTGCTGAAAAATAATATCTTATGTTTCTACAAGAATTGATGGTGAACTTTAAAATTGTTAGAATTTTTAAGTTAGAAAGAAAATTGTTCAGTTTTTTGATTATGATTAAATCGTGTATTTTTATGTAGCACTTTGTTAGGCGTCTTAAGAAGGCCATCAACAAAAGAAATAAAGATGCAGAGCAAAGGATTCGCAGCAACAAACCCAAGTATAAAGTTGACCACATAGTTAAGGAAAGGTAAGGAATCTTTGTAATCTGCTCTGTAACTATTGACGGAAAACATGAGACACAAGAGGAAGACATCAGGTTACATAACTCTGTCAATCTGCTTTAATTTAATTTGATGAATGGAGTTGCCATAGTAATTAATGTTTTATATGAAAAAGAAGAAATTGCTCCCATCTCCCAAATTATGCTTTGTAATTATTTTGTTTGAATTTGGCAAGTAGTATGACAAGTGTGCCAAGAATAAGGCACTGATTCAAGTATTTTTTCCGACTCATTCAGACTGATGGTGGACAATTTATTCAAATGAGGAACATGAATTTTAATTTTGTAGATACCCTTCATTTCAAGATGCCCTGGGAGATCTGGATGATTGTCTGTCCATGTGTTTCCTGTTTGGCACCATGCCACAGAGTGCACGGATACACATGGAGTACATCAACCATGCCAGGAGACTCACAGGTATATTATCAACCATTACGCAATTTCTTAAAGTTAATATACCCATACAGCTTTTAAAGTAAATGTTTCTGTCTTGTTAACTTGTTTAAAGGACTCATGGGCAGTAAAGATAACTCTGTCAAAATTATTCATAAAATGGACTTGATAACTCTTTTGAAATATTATATCTGATTTATTTGTGTATATTGTGAATTAATCCTGATAATTTTTCATATTCCAGTGGAGTTCATGCATTATATCATAGCATCGCGATCACTAAGGAAGGTAAGTATGCTATAATAAAAATGAACAATATGCTTGACATAAAAATCACAAACTTTACAGAAATTCAATGTAAAATTGATAATTTTTCTTTTCTTAAAAGGTTTTCATCTCCATAAAAGGAGTATACTTCCAAGCAGAAGTAATGGGACAGACTTTAACTTGGGTGGTGCCTCACAGTTTAGGATTTCAGGTATATTGATATGATTGGACTTTGACTATGGTTGTTCTTCAGTTTGACTTGAGTTGTGCCTCATAGTCTAAGGTTTTAGATAGTGATGTAATTAGACAATTGACTGTCTTTAACATCAAAATTTTACTTTCATTAGATATGTTAAAGTGAAACCGTATCTCATTTTTTTTTGTCTCCTTTGGATTCAATCAAATTTCATATATTTCAAATACCACGGTAACATTTTAATATCAATGTTGTACTGTTAAAGTGTTTTATTTAAATGTTCTTAATAACATTTATAGAGTTTGTGTTTTCTTTTTAGCATCCAGATGATGTGGACTACAAAGTAATGCAGACTTTTGTAGAGTTTTATACAACATTACTGGGATTTATAAACTACAAGCTCTACCACAGCCTTAACTTACATTACCCTCCAAAGGTAAGTTACACTTACCACAGTTCTCTTTGTCTATTACATGGTAAGTCTTAAATGTGTTATACCCGGTAGCTATCACTTTGGTATAGTTATATGAGTAGTGGACAAAATTCCATTGTTTGATAGCTTATTTTACAATTCAGTTTTGCTGTTGATAAGTTTTGATTTTCCAATTGTTGATTACATATAAATTTAATTGTGACATGAATTGCCATTCCTTGTTTTTTTTGTCAAACGCTGACCAGCTGGATTTTAGTCTGATTTCAATATGAGGAAAAAATGCACACAAGTAGACAGGACACTAAGATACATAGACAAATAGTGTCATTCTCGGTTTTTGTATTTTCAATCCCATTGTTACCATGGTTACTAATTTTACCATTTCATGTGAAATTCCTTTACCCTTTCTGTCATAGATTTCATCTGTAGTTTCAAATATTAAGTTTTCATGCACACGTGTTTGTTTATTCCAATTACTTAATATGAATCATACATATATATTTACATTTCCAATGAATTTCCCCTAGGATTCTTTACAAAATAAAATGCAGTATATTTTCTCATGAACTACATAAGGTATGTATTACGAATAAGCATGAATATCTCCATTGTTACGTCATATTACCGCTCTTGACGTCAAAAAATATAGTGCAACCTGTTTTGTTTTAAAAATGACAGTTGAACGGTGTAAATTTATGGCAAGTCATCAGAAAAATAATGTAAATATAAGAAATGAATTTAATTTTTTGAAGATTCATGAATATAACGCACTACAACGCTTCACGCCGGCATATTTATCATGAAGCGCTAACGCGCTTCATGAAATATGCCGGTGTGAAGCGTCGTAGTTCATAACCTCATGAATCTTCAAAAATTAAATTCATTTCTTAATTAAAAAAAAAGACCTATAGCCTCATCTTTTTCTTTTCCTGAAAAAATCATCCAGTACTTATTGAGTCTTATTTTCCAGAGATTATCAGCACTGTCTCAGTCCCTGAAGTCTATAGATGAGGGTGGAGGAGAGGATGAAGTCCAATTAGACGAGTTTCCCGCCACTGACGTAAGTTTCTCTTTACCTCAGAACAAAACATTTAAACGATCCAGGACCTGCCTCTGTTTCATTCTTATTTCAATCCCATAAGTGAATTTTCAGCCTTGTTTGAACTGAAAATATTAGAACTGTCTTTTCCCCCTATAGTACCATATATACTCGCCTATAAGTATGTATTTTGGGAGTTAAATATTGGTTTAAAACTCTAAGTCTGACTTATAGGCGAGTCATAAAGAGATTGGTATTTTTCTGGAGGCTAAAAGGTAGTATCTTATGTGCATTCCCGACGATTATCGAAGAAAATGTCTGGATATATATGATAATTTATGCGTTCTTAGATTACATATATAAAGTACAAGTATTTACAAATTTTAATAAATTTATTTGTATTTTAAGTGAGCATTGCCCTTTTGTTTAATAATTTAAGATTAAATATCAGTGTCATTTCGAAAAATATTAATTGAAACCAGGTTAAAACAAAGTGAATTTACTTGAAATTTTCACCCGATTTTGGCAAAAAATTGTACCGACTTATCAGCGGGTGACCGGTCGATAGCAAATCCCACCAAAATAATGTCAAAAAATACAATCGACTTATAGGCGGACCGACTTATAGGCAAGTATATACGGTATATACAAGTGTATAGTTATAAATATATTTAAGTTAAATACATTTTGTTAAAAACATGGAGATGCAGATGTCAGTTTTTATCTCATACATGTGGATGATACTACCTGTTAGGTAAACCTATGCTTTATCCACGGGTAGGTGCTTTATCAATAGCACTTCATTTAAATGATCCAGCAGTGATCCCTCCGCATTGCTTCAAGATTTAAATTTCAAAACTTTGATTTGTAAAAATTCTTGCCTTACAAAATAAATGGCAAGCCTGGTATATAATATATATCGTTGGATAAAGTCAAACACATTTTATCAAAAACACAATATAGATATCAGTTATATATGACTCTTGATATCAGTTTTTGTATTACATCTGTTGATAATCTATGGCCTACATGTATTATTTAGACTGATGACCCAGATCGAGTTGAGAGGGCTAAAGTGGAAGCCGAGAGAGTGAAAAAATTACAGAATCTGTTCAAAGGAAAGAAATTCTTTCTCAATAGAGAGGTGCCTAGGGAGACATTAGTATTCATTATCAGGTAAATCAGAGACATCTATAAAATATTGGGAGTGAGGGTTCATAGGTTTTTGATTTTTTTTTTTTGAAAAGGAAGAAACTAAAAATTTGTTAACTTTTTGTGTGATGAAAAATATAAACAAAAAATAAAAGTCATTAAAAATACTGTGTGCTGTATTTAATATTTGATATTTGAGCATATGCATCACTCACTAAAGAAAATAAAGGAGTGTAGTACCTGAGTTGTGTTTTATGTTTAGGTGACTGAATACGAGATGCATTCTACATGTATGGACATGCACCTGTATGTAACTTTTGTTCTATGTAAAAATGACTCTTTTGTAGGAGCTTTGGGGGAGAAGTTTCCTGGCATAAGTCTGTCGCTGTAGGAGCCACATTCCCAGAATCAGATGAAACCATTACACACCAGATCGTGGACAGGCCCCAGACAAAGAACCAGTATCTCTCACGGTAAGATCTCACTTACTTTGTTCTGTGGTCCAGTGAGATAGGAAAAAAAAATTCTAGATAAAAAATATGCGTAAAAGTTATACTGTTAATTAGGATATATGATTGAAATAGAGAGATATACCTACATTTTTGCCCTGATATTTTGTAGGTACTACGTACAGCCTCAGTGGGTGTTTGACAGTGTGAATGCTAATAGTCTGGTCCCCGTGGAGCACTACTTTCCTGGGGCCACCCTCCCTCCCCACCTGTCTCCCTTTGTTGAGGAGGAGGAGGGTGATTACATCCCTCCAGAGAGACAGGCCATGATCAACAGACAGCTGGGGGTGCAGGAAGACTCAGGTAAAATAACAGTCACCAATCTAGTGGTTCAGTCTAAAGGTCAGATAGTTTTTGGACTGGTAAATCAATTCATTCTACTGAAAACAGTAAGCACAAAAAACAGACAAAGCACAATCAGTTCTCTCTCTTTTTCTATAATAGATGAAGATAGCAAATTATACTTACAAGTACTTATGATAATAAAGTATACATACTGATATTGTACTAGTAATCAGTGCTGAAGATTCACAATGAATAGGCTGAGGAAATAATGATTGTACAATGGTATAGTAATGTAAAAACCTCCTGTAGGAGTTGAAGAGGATGAGGATGCAAGTGAAGATGAAGAAAATGAGGAGGAAGAGGAAGATGAGGACCAGGAAGATGATGAGGAGGAGGAAGAGGAAGAAGAGATTGAAGAAAGTGAAGAGGAGAAGAAAAAGGTACACATACAAATCAAAGTACTGAAATAGACAGGATCAAAGTAATATTGTTTTAGATTTTTAAAGTTTTGATATTTTGTGTCTCTTGAGACTAGATCTGATTTTTTTTTTTATTATGAAAAAATTGTAATAAAGAAAAAATATTATTACTCAGAGTTTAATAGGTAAAGAGAGAGAGAGAGAGAGAGATGTCTGTTGCCCTTTCACATTACCATTTATCATTTATGTATATTTTTTCATGTAGAGAAGAAACAAGGAAAGAATAAAAGAAAACTTGAGGAGTCTTCAGAAGTTGATAATGCTAAGGTGAGAAATGAAAATATTCTTCTGGATAGTTGGTCCTGGCTGTATTAGCAAAACATTTTGGTCATAAATAATGCTATATTGCAACAACTAAACTGTGATGTCAACATTTCTGTTGCTTATACTAAAATCTGATGGCATAACTATTCGACATGCAGCAGAAAAGTAAAAGCAGGCCATATAAAACTGTATATGAGAAAATGTACACTTTTCCTGTTATAAAGAGTAAGAATCATCAAGATAAATGATGTTTTTAGTTTTGTCATTCGAGAAATCTTTCAAAAGAAAAACAAAATGGATTTTTTTTGGTAAGAAGCTAGCACCTGCACAACTGTTAACTGATAAGAGAATATTTTTTCAACAGAAGCTGAATATGTCAGTAGAGGCAGGTGCGCCCGAGAATATAAATGTAGAACAGAAACTCCAGCGACAAACAATGGAGGAGAGGAGACTGGCAGAAATGATGATTCCCAAGAAAAAGAAACGTCTGTACGACAAAATCATGTACGCCAAGAAGAAGAAGAACCAGGAGGTAAGATCAGTCTCCTACAATCAGTCAGTCCTACAGGCTCAGGCAGTCCTATAGGCTTTTACTTAGTCCTATAGGCTCTTATTCAGTCTTATAGGCTCTTTCTCATTCCCTTAGGCTCTTACTCAGTTTAATGGGCTCTTACTCAGTAAGTCCTATAGGCTCTTCTTACTCAGTCATATGGGCTCTTACTCAGTCAGTCTAATAGGCTCTTACTAAGTCAGTCCTATATGCTCTTACTCAGTCCTATAGGCTCTTACTCAGTCAGTCTAATAGGCTCTTACTAAGTCAGTCCTATAGGCACTTCAGTCAGTACTATAGGCTCTATCAATCCCAAAGGCTCTTTGTCAGTCCTATAGGCTCTTACTCAGTTACATAGGATTTCTAACAGTAAATAGCCTTTCTTCTCTTGGAATAGAGATGTAAAATTTCATTTTTCTTTTTTTTTTCAGACAAGAAAATTGAAGGAAAAACGGGAGGCAATCGAGGAACAAAAGAAGGCAGGCAGTAAGAAAAAGAAGAAGAAAGTGTAATTACTTTGAAAAACAGTGTAGGGAGGGGGTATATTTTAAATAATAAATGTCACACACAAATTGTTTGCATACATTATCAAAGATATTACATGTACACAAAGTATTAGAATCCAATCGTATGTTCAAGTATAATTCCATTTGTTAATTCAAAGTTATTGTAACATCACTGCCTTAAAGGTACTTGGACACAGATTTGAAGTTGATCTTTTCTCTATAATATTACGACTTATATATTTTAATAGCATTTCACACAAAAATTAATTAAAAATCTTATTTCATTTAAAAGTTATTAAAACTTTGAATTTTTTTGGCGGGTTTGATTGACACATCCTTGCACTTTCACAAATTTTAATTTTACTCTTAATACTTAGGAAAAGTGGCAATCTTGTTGTGTATAAATGAAAAATATTAATACTGTAAGTTACTTTTTATTCGCGAAAACTTTATTTTCGCGTAATTACGCGAGACAGTGAGCACGCAAAAATTTTATTCTCGCATATAATAGTATTCCTTAAGATTATATAGAGAAATATTAACAATTCATAAAAATTGTGTCTCGCTTATATAGAATCAATGACTATCTCGCGAAAATAAGGTGTCGCGAAAATTTAGTGATCTGCAGTACTAAAATCCAGAAAATTCAGAGTAGACATGTTCGAAAGCAAAACAAACACACAATATATACTTAGTCCGTGCAGTTGTGGTGAGCAGTCTTTTGCAATTGAACGCATCTGGTGAATCGTAAACATCAACAATAAATACAAAAATGTACATAACACGAGTGTGATGATTTGCACACAACACTTTAAAACTTTGAAGAAGTTTTGCTTTCTAACATTTCTACTCTGAATAAAATTATTTTTCTGGATTAAAGTTTTAATATTTCTCATTAATACACAACAAGATTAAAACATAATTTTGCAAAAAAATTGAAGTTTTAATAACTTTTAAATGAAATAAGAAAAATTTTTGTGTGAAATGCTATTAAATTATATGTCGTGATATTATACGCAAAATAAATACATCATTTTGCCCAGATATTGTAATGAAAATACTATTCTGACTTCAAAACTTTAAAACGTGTACACAACGCACAGAATCTCAGTTGTTGACCAAATATATCACACAGGAACTTATTCTACTATTGTTTGAAGCTTTTGCAATGCAATCAAAATCCCACGTTTGGATTTTTTTCTACTTTTTTTTCAGTGAATATGTAAAAGTTGGGTAATGCAGCAAAAAGATGGCTTTTGCTAAAATAAAAATATATATCAAAATATATCTCCAGATATCATTGCATTTACGAGTGTGATTCACTTTGGGCTTGTAGACTGGTATGATACCAGAATCACCATTTTATTTCCGGTATACTGCTTTGAACAGCTCATCCAGTGCTCAGGTCTAGCTCTGTTCATTGTTTAGGGTGTACACTGGCGTGATAGTAGATTCCGCCATTTTTTGCTCATACACTGCTGTGAACAGCTCATTCTGTGCTACCGTGAACCAGTTTCTCCAATCTCCCACGCAGCCTACAACATAAAATGAACGTTAGTTTTGGCGCCATACATTGCCAAAAGGTCGTTATGACAGCATGTCAAATAACCACGTCAAGGGCAGGTCAACCTTACATTCAATGGTTCCTAATTTATTGTATGGTCTATTTCTGTGGTACCAAGTACAGTAATGTAATTGACGAAAAAAAGGAACACTGCCCAACAATGGACGATTCTAGGACTCCGATAAATACAACTGAAGAAGTATAAGCAAATGTGGAAATTTTTACTTTTAGTTGTTTTTGTTTTGTTTATTTTTAAAAATTGTTTTAATCGAAAGTAATCTTATAATTTTCACATAAATATAAAAAGAAAGTATCACCAGTCCTTTTTGGGAATAAACCTGAGAAGTTTAACAATTTTCATAACAATATTACGTAAATTTCAGGAAGTTCACAAGTTTTTCTTTTTTCAAAAAAACGTTGAAGAGTAAGTATTTCTTTCGTTTTGGAAAAAAATGTGGACAAGTTTATGTTTACCTGGACAAGGATGTAAAAAAAAATCTTTTATCCATGAATTCGGAAGGACTTCAATGGTATTGATTTTATTGTTTCTCCCTTGTAAATAATTTTTTTTTAAATTTTCAAGCCAGGAAAGCTACTAATTTACCTTCTCCGACAGATTTCATCTCCATTACTGTGACATTTCCCCATTTCCTACCTTTTCAGTACATTCCAGGCTCTCCGTTTCTTTATTTTGTAATATCTCCCATTTTTAACCTTTTCGATACATTCCCGGCTCTTCATTCTGTAGTTGTTCCCTATTTTTTTTTTACCTTTTCGGCATACATTTTTTGTACATCTTAGGTTCTTCACCTCTGTAATATCCTCTATTTCTTACATTTTCGATACATCCCTGGCTTGTCATTCTGTTTCATTTTAAATTTGTCCTCTATTTCTTACATTTTTGGTACATTCCTGACTATATATTATTAATAGCGCCCCCCATGCTTACCTTTTCGGTACATACCTTATACTCTCCATTTGTAGGGTCCCGCATTTCTAAATTTTTCGGTACATTCCTAGCTGGCTCTTCATTCTGTAGTGTCCTCTATTTCTGACCTTTTTCGTATATTCTTAGCTCATATTATATATATTGTCCTTCATTTCTTACACTTTCGGTACATTCCTGGCTCTTTATTATAAATAGTATCCTCCGTTTCTTACCTTTTCGGTACATTTTCCTGATTCTGTCCTCTAGTTCTTTCCTTTTCGGCACATCCCCGGCACTCTATTATGCATAGAGTCCTCTATCTTTTACTTTGTTGGTACATTCCTGTCTCTGTTCTTCATTTCTGACCTTTTCAGTACATTCATGGCTCTTTATTATGTATATTGTCCTTCATTTGTTACCTTTTCGGAACATTCCTGATTCTCAATTATGTATAGTGTCCTCAATTTCCTTTTCTGTACATTCCTGGCTCTCTATTATTTATAATGTCCTCCATTTCTGACCCTTTCGGTACATTCCTGGCTCTGTCCTTCATTTCTGACCTTTTCAGTACATTCATGGCTCTATATTTTGTATAATGTCCTCCATTTCTTACCTTTTCGGTACATTCCTGGCTCTCCGTCTTTCCATTCTGTTATATCCTCTAAAGGGTCCTTTTCTTCTTTCATCACCAAGAATGAGCACTGGGCAGAAATATCATGTGACAGGTCGCTACTGCAACTGACTGCTAAGAATTCTGCCAAGTTTCTGATCTCGTGTTCAGGGGACTAAAAAGACCAATTACAGAACACTATATTGTAGAACCAGTTTGCTACTTAAAGGATTTCCAGATTAAAAGATGTATTTCCAAGTTTTCCATCTATTTTCAGAGATGAAAAAAAAAATTGCTTCATTCAAAAGCTAGATTGAGTGTAAGCTACCACGAATTTCCAGTTAATCCTTTACACAAAAAATGTATAAAATAATTGCCTGATATGTAATTTATCTATTTCGGTTTTAAACTACCACCCCTGATCGGAAAAGGGTACCATATGAACAAATCAAGTTCGAGATTGAGTACCTTTGTTTTCTGAAGATAGATACACTGTATAATGCATCTTTGATGTAGGTTGGCCTAATAAGTTCTGAATTAACATGATTGTACAGAAGTTTAGGATAAACTGAAGTCGTTTTCGAAAGAGTATATGCATTTTAGCTAGAAAAAGTAAAATTGCTCTTAGATGCTGCCCCCTTACTTTCGTTTTGTAAGGTCGAACACTGGTATATTCCAGATTTTTGACAGTTAATGAGGTCTCTTTTAAAAAAAAAAAAAAAGAAAAAAAACCTGCTCGTCAATGCAATTTTAAGATGGTAAGTTGTTCCCCTCCTCAACTTTTGAAACCGTTGATACGGGCATGCTTATGACAGGTTGTCTTAATTCAAGCAATCGTATTCAGTCTATACACAAATAGAGGTTTTGTTAATTCTCGTCTGCTGTCAAGTTTGAAGCATAAGCGCTCCACGTGTAAGTCTGTAGATGACGAAATGATAGGATTTTGTACAATTGACAGCGGAGATGAGAAGAAACAACCTACATGTGCTGGGAGTTATTGAAAGCAGATGGACTGATTCAGGAAAATACGTACAACAGCAATTGCAACACTACTGTATTCTGATCAAGAGGATGGACATCATAAAGAGTTTGCAGATATTTCCCAACAAAGAAGGTTGACAGATCTTTAATGGATCGGAAGCCAATCAGCAGTAGATTGCTAACAGTACGGCTTAGCGGAAAGCAAGACACGTGTCACAAGACACTATTCCAATGCTATGCACCTACTGACGATGCAGATGAAAAGGACAAGAATGCTTTTCATCAACTACTTCAGAAAGAGAAAGAACTAGATAACACATCAGGTAGATTATGATGTTGCTATCATCATGGGTAAAATGAATGCCAAATTCGGAGCAGATAATGAACTGGTAATGGGAAACATGGTTGTGGGATCATGAATGAAAGTGGAGAGACTGCAGAGTTTTGTACCACCAACAACTATGTATTTGGAGAAACACTACTCCACCATCGAAAGATTCATACGTTAAACTGACAATCTCCAAACATGAGAGACCAAAATCAAATTGACCTCATCATGATAAATAGAAAATGGAAACGATCTTTTATGGTATGAGGGTGGAGAGAGTTGCCGATGTAGATAACGATCCCATCGGCAAACAGCAACTATCAAACTAAATCTAAGGAGCACAGAGATAATTAAAGGACATATGGCAAGAAAGAAATTAGATGTGGATAAACTTAAAGACACCAAGATACAAAATGAATTCAGTATTATGCTTAGGAATAAGTTTGATGTACAGGGCTGTATTACAAACTTAAGAAGCAGTGGACAACATACATGTAACATCAATCGACGAAAAGTGTGGGGAAAATTAACATCTAAACTGAAACAATTGTTAAATGCATTGGTTATAGGCAAAATCAAAGGAGTAAAGACTGGATAACACCTAGATGATGGATAATGATTGGCTCAAGGAGAAAAGAAAGTGCATGCGACAAAATCTCCGAGACTTAAAGAGACATCAAAGGGAATTCAGTGAAATAGAGAAGGGCGTAAAAAGGCTATACGCTCAGACAAGACAGCATCCATACCGTAGGTGCCCTAGCAACAAAAACAGAAATGGCAGTCAACAAAGAAGAGCAAGAAAACCTTTACAAAATAAACAAAGTCAGTGAGTGGCAGGAATAGACTATCTCCAAAGCTATTTTAATCTAACTGTCAGGGACAAAAGAGGAAAGTTGCTGTCATCAGAGAAAGAGATGGAGGAACGGTGGACAGCATTTTAAGGAATTCTAAAATAATCCACCTCCAGCTCATGAACCTGACATCAGTGTTCCAGCAGATGTCCTAAATACCAGCATTGAACCACCACAAATTCAAGAAACCAGGTTATGACAGTCTTTTTAGAATTGTTTACGACAAATCCACTTCTTACGGCCATGATTTTACAACCAATTTTCCATGACATCTGGGAAAGCAACAGCATTCAAAATGAATGGAACCATGGAGTAATCATGAAAATACCAAAGAAAGGTAACCTGTATGACTGCAACAATTGGCAAGAAATACTTCTTTCCATCCCAATTAAGATTATGGGTAAAATCATCATCAGAATATTCGCATCTGTAGATGTCAAAGTGTAAAGAAGCAGGGTTTAGTCCAGGGCGAGGATGTATTGATCAAGTTTTTACACTAAGAAACATCATTGAACGGTGTAAAGAATGACAACGATAATGATAAATTAATTTTATTGATTTCTAAAAAGTCTTCCCAGTATTCATAGAGACGGTACTATATTCTCTGGAAAATTAAGCGGTCCTAGGGCATCCCACAACATCCAATAGATGTCATTAAGAGTTTTTGTCAATTTCAGGTGCAGAGTTGGAAACAACAGCATTGGGTTTGACGTTAAAACAGGAGTACGTCAAGGCTGTATAATGTCATCAACACTATTCATTATAACCATTGACTTGGTCATGAAGAATACAACATCTGTTATTCCAAGAGGAATCAGATAGGGTACATATACAACACTAGAAGACCTGGACTCTGCCGATGATATATTCTTTTTCTCTCACTCCCACCAGTGCATTCAAAACAAAACCAGCAGGCTCCACAAATATGCAGGAAGCATTGGACTGAAGATCAGCACCAAAAAGATAGAGGTCATGACTCTACATATAAACAACCCACAAGCAATCAAAGTGGAAAATCATATCCTTCCATGCACAACACCTTTTCATACTGGGTAGCAAAGTAAAACAGATGGTGGATCAGAGACTGACATCAATCAGAGACTATCCAAAGCAAGAGCAGCATTCAACAACCTACAAACTGTCTGGAGATCAAGTCAGTACACAATAAGAACAAAGCTGAAACTATACAAGAGCTGCATTCTACCTATCCTCTTGTATGGATCAGAGTGTTGGATAATGACAGAGAGTGACCTAAGCAAGCTGTCGACATTCCATACAAATTCCCTAAGAAGGATCCTAAGAATATTTTGACCAAACACCATCTCAAATCAGGACCTTCTCAACAGGTGCCAGCAAGAGGACATGGCCACAATTATCATCAGAAGACGCTGGAACTGGATTGGCAATGTACTTAGAAGGGACTCAGTATCATAAAGACAGCTCTCTTCTGGACACCTAAGGGAAAACGAAAGAGAGGAAGTCACTTGGTGAAGGACAGAAAGCTGGGGGTACACTCCAAAATGTACCTTGACAGACAAGGACGAGAACCCTGGTTACTGCCCTATACGCCAAAAGCGCCACGGGCAGTAAGTAAGTAATTAAATTCTCTTAATTTCTTTGTATAATATCATGACTTGTATGTTGTTATAACATTTCACACGATAAACGTGATGACTTTAACTTTCCTATAGTCAACTTCCCTTACCTATGCAGCAATATACTAGTACCTTAATTCATCACCTGCATACGGAGTTGTTTATATATCTCAGTTGATTCGATACGCAAGAGCATGCTCTACGTATGAACAATAAAAACGAGGTAAATTATTGACAAACAAGTTGATGAAACAAGAATTTCAGCTGTCTCGTTTAAAGTTATCATTTCGTAAGTTCTATGGTCGATACAATGGCCTTGTCAGCAAATACAATTTATCATTGAGTCAAACGCTGACTGACGTTTTTCGTACTTATTGTTAGTTCACTATTTATACACTGAATTGACGACGGATTTTTCCGTTATTTCCCGAACATGACAAGGAGCACACGGCGGGTGTGACCGGTCGGCAGGGGATGCTCACTCCTCCATGGCACGTGATCCCACCTCTGATGTTTCGGAGGTCTGTGTTTGCTCTGCTCCTATTTTGTATCGTTTTATGGACCTTTGATCTTGAAAACTGTTCCTTATCTCCATATGTTTCACCCGAAATATGATTAAAGCGTGTTCAGTACTAGTGACTTATTTTATCTGGATATTATTAAAACTACGACATTCGGGACGCATTAGATTGATACATCTGTGTCCAGGCCCATTGAAGTTTATTGCTTGAGCAGAGTTGTTTTACCTGATGCAGACTTTCGTATGTCAGGGTATGGAATGGGAGGTCTGGAGACGTCTTCATTGATTTCTCCCAGTGAAGAACGTAGTCGAACCAGGAACCGTAATCAACTGAAAGTAGAAAAGCTCATCGAGCACTCTTTTAAATCATTACAAGTATACGAGGGACGTTGAATAAATACTAGTAGGTAAAAGATGGTAAAAATAAGACGAGCACAAAAAGTAGTTTCTTTATAATTTTTATCCCATAAAATATTCCCTGTACCCTTTCAAAACTAAAGATACATGTATGTAAAGTCAGCAAGGGTCAATGTAATTGTTAACTGAATAAAGACGCATATACATGTACCAAATAGTGCTCAGCCAAAAATCAACCAAATAAACCCGAAAAAGAGGCATAAAACAAATATTATTGTTGATCTTCAGTCAGTCAAAAGATTTCAGTAAATTGAATATAATATAGTTATAGAAGATTTTGATGTCAATGGATGGGAAATATAATTATTGGTAAACTAAGATCAATAGTCAACAAAATAGGTTTACAAACAACAATAACTCCAAAATCAACCAAATGAGCTCAAAGAAATTTTTTACCACTCGTTCAATTTTGTTTTGTTTCAAAAATATCCATTGAGATGAGAAATCGCATGGTTTGGGATGATCAACAAAAACACGAATGACTCGTCAAATTACACCTCATATTACATGCATTTTCACTGGTTTCAGAGACCTACTGGTTATAAGTATGTATATTGCATTTGTTTTATATTGTGCCTTTGTAATATTTAAGAACTGGCCACTACATTTTATAGCTTGTTTATACTCAGAAGAGGTTAACCGACTAGTATTTCATTACAGAACGTGAGAATGCAGTGAACCACACACACACACACCTTTTCCGTATAGGAATCGTCCCAGATATGACCTCCAACTTCCGGAATACTCGTAGTCGAGTAATCGTACGTGATGATTATAAAAGGAAACGGCCACGTCTTTGGGATTACGAAGCACGTAGATCATCTTACATCTTTTGTCAACAAAGTCTTTAGGTATGTCTGAAAATAGCATGTGCGTGTTCAGTACTCTAGGCGATAACATATTTTGCAATGCAAACCCGGATCCACATTCCAACATGGCGGATTCTTTCATTGATGGTATTCGAACGGCTTTCTGGTCCAGTATCATCTTCACAATTTCCCAAACCCAATGTGTCCCTGCAAATTTAAATAAGGATTAAAACCCAAAAGCCAACTAAAATATTCGAAACAAATATGTTGAAATACGATACATAAAATTCTTTTACGTTTACTCGTAAACATATATTGTGGTAAAACGAAACTGAAAATATAGTTTTAACGTCTTAATGAAGGTATCACACCGGTAATTGACCAATCAAAATGTAGGTCCATATATATAAAATTAATTTTCTTTTCTTTTGAGGCGTTTTTCTATTTTCTTCCAAGCCATTTTTACAACTTTGGTACCTGTGCCTAGTAAATTTTATGTACTTTGTGAATAAATAAAAGTTTTTGACAGGAACTATTTTTTTCAGGGCATAGGAGGCTACTTCCTGTGATGCACTCGAGGTGTTTATAAACAAAGTGAAAACACGTGGATTTGAGGGTAGCCCTGTTTGCAGATGGAAAAAGTCCGAAAATGCCGTGTGGGTACCCTGTTTTTTGGTGTCAGCTAATGTGACAGGTAATGTTTATCACCTCCTGCTAAAATTTTTTCTTTAATTTTTACGATTTTTTACTATATAGAATTATATAGTGAAAACATATTTTGCGTTAAAACGAAACTGAAAATATATTGTACAATTGAACGTTTGTTGTCACACTATTTATCAGACTGGTAACGGTCAAAAAGTCACCGGGGATTATAAATGTGGTTACTCAACCTGTGTTGATTACGTTTTGTTTTTTCTGTTTTTTACTGCGGTCTGCCATTTCCGCATTGCACTGTGGTTTTTCTTGTGGTCTGCCGAGCAACTCCTAACTTACATGTATGGATTGTAATCTCTACGAGTCAAACGTTTTTTGAGCATTAAAAAATGCTTGAAAATTTATTTATTTATTTTTATTAAGAGCTGGGAGAATTTTGTAGTTGTATACTAAAATCACCCAGCTGGCTCTGGGGCCATAAAACTGAGACGAGTTCACTTTTGATTTCAGCCTCACCTTTTACCAAAGGGATTAATAGTAGAAAAGTGAGACTGAGATCAAAACTGGGCTCATCTAAGTTTTATGACCTCGGGGCCAGATGCAAGTCATACTGATGATTAGTTCGATTACTATCACTTTAATTCTAAAGGATTACTGAAATAACCTCAAGCTTTACTAGTATAGAACTACTGCGTTTACTTTACCACACTAATTGCTACATTCTATTCAAAAAGATATTCTAAAAACCTGCTATGTTTTACCTGACTTTGGGTAAGCACAGATGAGAACGTCATCACTCCTAGCTTTCCATGACGTCATATTACGGAGCTCTTCCTCTTGGTCGTGAGGGGTCCTCAGTATGGGGAAGTATCGCCCGTTGACCTCAAGAAGGGACATCATGTCCCCAGCATCGTCTGCTACCTTAACAATAGGCATTTCACTTCTTCAACTTACTTTCATAAGGCTGCTCTCAAAGTATTCTAGGAGGGCATGGTTACCCTCAACTACTAGTAACTGAATGCAACCAACACAGCCGGACAAAAACTGTACGTAGTCTATGACTATCTTCAACACCTTTCAGTTCGTACTTTTAGAAGAAGTCTGAGCTTTACTCCAAAAAAGGCCGCCAATATATTGGAAAGTTTCACAGACCTTTACATCTCTATAGATTAATGGTACTCGGAAGACTGTCATGTAGAATCGTGGTGTTAAACTACATCGACGATCTCTAGCCCTGGGACTTAATTCTTCTGCAACAAATTGATTATTGGAAAAAGACCGCGTTTTGAGCTTATTTTGATTGTAGGTCATTGATTTCAACAAGCAGAATTTGTGTTTAAAGAGCAATAGAATTACATAATTATTGTTGGGGAAAGACATTTTATTGACTCATGCAGCGAGCAAATTAAAAAGGGAATTATAGAAACCCAACACTAGTATTTTATGAGATCATCAAGTTTAGAGTCTTTATTGTGATTAACAGTAATGTTATACTGTTAAACCAGAGATCCCTGGTGAGGTTAAAGCTCTATTGGCTAGATCGTACACATTTTATGTCCATAATTCGAAGATTCGGGAATATCGAATATATAGTAGTTATTGCTCTGCCCGTTCGTCCGCATGTGTCCTTGTCCACAAAAAGTTTAACCTTGTCCTTAACTTATGAAGGTTAAATCTATAGTTTTATTTATATTTCACTTGTGTATTCCTGTAAGAACTTTCTTTGGGCACCAACAAAATACCTTGACTTTTTAAGATCTTGAGCCAAAAAGAAGATGGGTGAACATGGCGGGCAAAGTGCCTGTAGTGCGACAAACATGAAATGAAAAATGAATGTCAAAATTTTCTTTGATATTTTATCTAACATAAAACTTATAAGTATACTTTATGTAAAATCTCTACAATTTACAAAAATTTCACAAAGACTGAAATAAGTTGTCTATGAAATGGCGTACGCACACTAAATAGGAGGGAAAAAAACATACTTAGTCTCATACTTTAACAATTTCTTTTTCGACATGAGTGGGTCTTCGCTTCATTTTTTAAAATTGAAATCTAAAAGTTGGCAAAACCATTAGCATGTCATAACTTAATTGCATAAATTTACTTATTTTTTCAATTAGAAATATATCAGATGGAACTGATCATTGAAAAAAAAAGATGCATCATATTTTGAGCTTACAAACAGATAAACAGACAAAAAATGAACACTTCCAATGCATCGTGCGTCGAACAGTTGAGTGAATTTAGCTTGAAAAATGCTAGCTGCAGAACTGTAGCTCTCTCACCCGAAAATATATATTCTTATGTTTTCATACAGAAAAAAAATCCTGGTTTTGTCAATTTGTATCAATTTGGAATTTCCCAATCTATTTTCAGATCAATGTAGAGGAAATACAGTTCAGGTCAATACAACATAGTATTTTTCTAACATAGTTGGATCTCAGCCAATCAGAGAGATGGAAATTAAAATATAACATTTTATGCATATATTTTGAGAATATTGTGTTTAAAGGCAAAACATGTCTATGTCTAATACATGTATTAACGTCCACGAATGTTTTATATGGAATTTTACTAGTATTTTTAATCAACATTATTTTATGGTTTGTACATGCCCTTACTCGCGAGAATTATTTGTGTTTACTTCTGTATGTAAACACAAGTGTTTGTCCTAGTAAATTTTGGTATGACATGGTGAGTGGTCGTAAACTGCCGGACGCTCTCTCACAGAAATGAGCCGTCATGTTGTGATTGAAATATGGCGTCTTGCAGATGAGTTGATGATTTGACAATCAGAAATTGCGCTACATTGCAATACCGAATGCATAATTTATGACGAATTTCATGGAAAATGCAATAACCTGAATCTTTTTACATATAACAAGGCTGAATATATCTCATCTGTCATTCAGTCCTCAAGGCATGACTTAATTAATTCCTGCATTGTATTTTTTTGTCTTTGTTTCTTTGTTATTTTTTTAAAAATGCAATACGTTTTGTGAAAAGTAAATTAGTTTATGAAATGTTCTTATACCAAAAGGTTTATGAGGTCATTTGAAGAGTGTATTGTACATTATACACAATAAAAAAATCAATTGCATTTCCATTGAAAGAAATATTGAAAAACTGTATCATTATCATTGTAACACTTCTGTGTGGTAGATAAGGGAGATAAAATATGTTTGCGGTATATGTATCCTAAGGAATCTTCTCCTGCGACACGGGTCCTCGATTTACACAATCTCTTTCTCCGGGGGGTGGGGGGGGGGGGGGGTGTTAAGCATCACTATTCATTGGTCACATCCGCCATGAACTCTATGTATCTGATCAGGTTGAAATTCCTCTAATGATACTCGGAGTGTGATCTTGAGCATCTGGAGAGATAAGCACCACATGCAACTGATAACAGAGTATATGCAAATTCCAGGATATAGTTTTTTGGTATAGAATATCATTCTTGGTCTAAATTGGCCAGTTTTATTTCACATCAAAAGGACATCATCTTGAAAAAGATAAATTGGTTGTTATATAAAACGAATATAAGGAGCTATTGGTGGTGTGCTGTAGATGTGTAACGCGATTTAAGTTTGACTTCTTCATTTGGGAGGAGGGGTGTAGTCTAAATCCTTTTTTCTACTAAAATCTTTGTTTCCAAAACCTAATATTTTTTTCAGCGACTACTGCATTATATTTTCCTTTATATGATTAGCCTTGTACTTGGAGCAACAAGTTTCAGAATTTACTTTTCATTCTAGAAGACCGATTTGGCGTTTTGGATAAAACCTATTTTTTCGTGATATATTTTAGAAAAAAATTGTTGGTGTCCCAAAGTTGTGCAATTGGGCTTCAGAATTCCAGTTTCATCCGATGCCATTTAAAGACGGAAAACCATGTTTTCAACGAATCCCCATTTATTTATTTTTTTTAATAAAATAATAGGGATGTCAACGAGTACCCGGTTAACCGGGTACTCGATCGAACGTCCGAGTATCGAATACTAAAATCAGTACTCGGTTACTCGGATGTATATTTTTGAATATTTCTTAGCTTGTTTATTAATGCATTAAACAATCTGTTTTAAAGCGTAAAATACTCATTGCACTTGTACATCAGTAATTAGGGTTTCCTACTCCTCTAAATGACCGTTATCGCCCGGCCGTGGCCGTGTTTTTACTGTAATTATCGTGACAAAGCACCTGTAACCTGGCTTTTCTCACCTTTGGCTGTCTTCTACCCTTATTATTGATTCACTTTAATTATTTGTTTTCACTGAACATCGTTTAAGGTCTATTATGATTTAATAAATTTGACAATCTTGTTAATTCTGCGAGAAGTCTTTTAAAAATTCTCGGGAAAAGAAGACCGATGATATTGCCCGCGCGATTGTTGATATGGGTGTGTTTGATTACCTGCCAATACAAATGGTTGAAGACAAAGGCTTAAAAAAACTTATGTCCATCATTGCACCAAACTACAAAATACCGTCCCATAATACTAGAAAATCTATGTTCGAAAAGTGTACTAAAACCGTAAATCCGCTCTGTTAGGCGAACTTGATCAAGTTCAAGTTAAACTGTACGACTGATACCTGGACGTCAAACGCAACAAAGAGTTACATTACATATATACGGAGCAGATTAATTTTTGAAACAAGAAATCTGTGAACTACTTATGATTTTATTTCTTGTGTTTATCTGATGAATAAATTGAACATAAACGATGTTATATTGAATTTCACCGGGCACGAAGTGCTCATCGTTGTTACAACAGAAATACACTAACGGGTAAACCTCCTATCAAAGCATGTGGTTTTATTTCTACAAGAGTTTACAATGTTTACTTGTTCATATTTATTTACACTTTTACCGAGTACCCGGGTACTCGATCGGAAAAACGTCCGAGTAACCGAGTATTAAAAATTGACCGATTTGACATCCCTATAAAATAATAATTGTATCCATTGTCCTAGATTATTACATGTATGGATGATCTCTTTCCGGAGAATCTGATGTTGAATTTTATGCCTATTTTTAGTAATTATAGAATACTCTATGGGTGGCTACTATACTATTTCATGACAATTTCTTATTTAAGAAGTTATTTTTAAATTTTGTATCTTGATTACTATTTTTTATTTGACAGTTATTAGGGATTGTAAGGTTTCGTTACTATTTGATCAAAATAATCTGATAGACTTTATTTTACAGAATGAAGCGTCCTTGATCATGACCTCTTTACCACGATAAGTGTCCAGAAGCTCAGGTCCAGTGATTTTTGCGGACTTTTGGGGTCTGAGTCAGTGGGATATAATTGGCATTTATAGACCATCAATGCTGATTTATATTGGATTATGTCACATATCTTTTACGGATTTGTCAATGGTAAACATGCTTTTGGAAATGATCAACTGAATAACTGAATTTGAAATGTGTGACTTACAATCAAACAAGAAAAACAAAGTGGCAGGTCTAATGGATTTAACATCATTAACAATGCCAGAACTTATAATTTAGTCACCTACATTTATATTCTGAAACCAAATTTCTTACAAAAACTTATAGGATCAACATAACCAAGATCCAATATCAGTGGTTTTTAGAGGTACATCAATACCCATGATCCTGCTTGTATAGAGATACGATTATAGAAAGGGAAGGCTTTATACAAAAATTGTAAAATTAATAATTTTCGCTAATTTTAGCAATAAATATGTGACAAAACGATTCATTATTCTCAATATTTTTTCTCTATGATATAGCAGTACTGATATGCTTGCTATCTATCATCGAATACAACCATCGAATACAACAGGGATATGTGTTTTGCCATGAAGTGTTTTCCTATAAACGTCACAAAAGCGCAGTGTTGGTTGTCACGGCGTGTGATCCGGATTTAACGCTGGTCAGAGGCTTGATCACTGTATTGCAAGACTCTGCAGGGGATAGTACACACTGCATACAGGTGAGAACAAATCAGGAAAAAATATTTTTAAAAATCTACCTGTCATAGCAAGGGACTTAATTAATTTTACCTTCAAATATCTAAATTGGACAAAATATAAATCATTAAGATTTTTCTTTTAAACAACAAATTCTGTAAAATTATTTGATGTACAGTATAATACGCTTATGACAAACATAATTAATTGATGCTTACAGCAAAATTATTTACATTCCGATTGGATTTAATATTATACATTAAACGGATATAACGAAATACGTTTATAACGAACCAAACATCCTCCCTTGGGACTTCTTTATAAGTGTGTTTTACTGAAATTAAATCATAAAAGTTACATATATTTAATAAAAACAAAGCTGTAAGAGCAAATTCTGGACTGTTTTATGAGGAAAATTTAATAGATGATTGAAACCTCTCCTATTTTAAATATTACAAAAATTTTAAAAAATAAGAAAGACCGATCGACACATACAATTTACAATTTTCAATTTCGGAGACAGTTATTAAATAAGTCAGATTCTTTTTTAGTTAAACCACGGCAGGGAATGGAACATGAATCTAAATATCATATATTTACATCAAAAATATAAACGGGAAAAGGGGGTCCGATGGATTTTAATGTAAGGGGTCTTTTTAAATATACTAATTGTCCCACAAAAGTGAATTTCCCAAATGATCATAAAAAATTATGCTTTTCAAACTTCTTAATTTTAAAGAGTTTCCCCTTTTTCAATTTTAACACTTTTTTAGTTTACTCATCTGAGTACATGTAATAAGATACCAGTATAAAACAGGCACGTAATTCGATTTTTGAAAGGGGGTGCCGTACAGAAAATAATTTAAAACTCAACTGAAAATCAGAAATAAGTCTCAATAATAATAGGAAAATATTCGGGGCGGGATGTGGATGGTGATTTCTACGAGAGGCGGATGCAGTAGGTTCTCAAAGGTTCTCAAAGAACATGTTCATCCTATGAACGATCGCATCCTAGATTAACAGTAAAACGTAATGGAAAAAGTTGGAAAATCGATCCCGATAACGTGTCTGTAAGAAAAACTAAGAATTTATATATATATAATAAGTAGTTTTATATTCTTATAAAAAGGGTTGAAAAAGTTTGAAATGATAAATCTATTCATTTGGTTCAGGGGAAAATGTGGAGATATATGAACGCAAACTGCGCAACACCAGATGGTGCATATGTCATCTGTTATGCAATAATAACCATAGGGTGTGATTAAAAATATAAATGATAATAGTGACTTAATTCTATAATTTTCATGATTCTTCAACATCAGTTCGTGTCTGACAGGTGCCTGTTACACTATACATGCCTCATTTCCAGTTCTTCAACGACAAAGATACCACATTCTTTACTGTGCATATTAAAGATATATACAATATGCAGCTCCTCTGAAGTATTTTTTTTTAAAAAGCCTTGAAGAGATAGGAATTGAAATGTTGAAAATGAAAAAAAAGAAATTATCACAATCTTAGCATTTCAAAGGAAGGCTCTCTAATGAGAAATTTCAAAAAAGCCAAAAATGGGGGGGGGGGGGGGGGGGGGGGGGTAAACTGCATGGCCAATCTCGAATGAGATCTATCTCTTACTTTTCAGTATTTGCCTCGAGACCAATTTTACTTACAACAACAAAAAGTGGGGGATGTCAAGCAGGGTCAATGAATACATAAATTACATACAGGTATATCAAAACGAGCAACCCAATCGGATATAACCCCCCCTCTCGCGCATAACTGGTCTGACTAAATTATCTATTAATGTAGCATATATTATAGGGCATAGTTAACAGTCAAATCGAGACCATGAACTTGCTCGCTTATAATTTGCTTCTGATTAACCTTTATATTTCGTCCTTGATAAACCTTTAAATATATTTTCTCACAGACTTGGTCGGCGTTTCGTGATTTTCGGGAAGAGTTGATCATGCACGGTTGGTCCTCCCACTCTGCGGAGGCGACATGAAAAGAGTCTTCTAGACATTTAGCACTAAATTACAGCTATTTTATTTCTAAAAAAATCCTAAAATATCGCTAAAACCTTCATTAGTTTTTCCCTATACTTATACACTTACTGGCACGATAATGATCGACTGTTTTATACAAAGAATGTAAGTCGTATTGTGGTTTATGGTTATTTCTACTTGTCTGTTTTAGCTTTTTAAGTACAAAAAATGCGTTGGTAGAAATAACACATATATTGTTATCAGTAGAGAAGATATTTTATTTCAGATACATATATAATGAAATCACCCCACTATATAATTTATACCTCGTCGTTATTATACATAAACTGGGATGGCAATTTGATATTAAGCCCATGTCACTCTATCGGACAATCAAACACTGCATTTGATTTATTATATTAGATTTAATCAGGTTGAGTAATTGTCCCTTGATCAGTGAATGATGGATTTTATAATATAAATTCAAAAGTGCCGTAGTTTTTCATTTTTATATTAGTATAGGAATGCACCAAGGTTACCCATTGTTTGCAGTTTCCTTCATAATGCATATGCATGATTCTACATTAATTAAACTTGGGCATAGCATTTTTCCAACAACTTTATAATATATTTATGTGCAAATGTGTCTGCACAGTTCGCGATCACCGATAAAATACACAGGCCTCGTGTTTACCGACTATTTTCCGCCAGAAAGAGCGTGTGCTTACTCCCGCTTACTGGCAGACTCGACACGTTCATGAGCGTTTTATGGCTTAACTAGGCCGTTACCCAAGATTGTGTTCTAACAATATTTCCTATATTTAGATTTACAACACATGTCCGCAATTATTTTAAAATACAGTTTTTAGCAGTCCCTAATTGATTTATATAGCCGGAGTGTGACACTATATGCATTTGTTATCTCTACTTTCAGGGGAGAAGATGTCGTTTTCCTTGATATTTACTCTGATTGCACTTCCCCTGTTTTACACACAAGGTGAATATAGAGAAGTATGGTGAGAAATTGAGGTTGATGCTTATAAAATGCAAAAAAATATTCAACTTGCCAAAAATATTTATTCATAATTATTTTTCCTTTTTAGTCAATGCAGATTGTAGGGGGAAAGCTGATATTATAATAGCAGTTCCAGGCTCTGTGAATATTCCTGGAGAAGAATTTTTCCCTTTTGAAACATTTTTACACATGCTTGTGGACTATTTTGTGTTAGATGAGAATAACGTTAATATTGGTTTCGTGTTGTACGGAAATGAACCAACAATTGTGAGTCATCCTCAGCCTTTCAAAGACCAGGCTCAGACAAATACGAGAGCCACTCTTCTCACTCAGAGGGAAAACTACATGAACGTTATCGGCTCTCCACCAAATGTTGCCAAAGCTTTGACTTTAATGCGTGCCATGTTTCAAAACCCCAGTGGTTACCCTATGGAACGACCTCGCCCTGGTGTAATGAAAATTGGAGTTATTTTTACGTGGGGTGCACAGCCTGTTGAAGCTTTCGATGACGTGATCAGGGTTGCTGATGATCTTCGAATGGATGGTGTCACTATGTACGCCGTAGGAAGAAGTCCGATTGGTCCCGAGTTTGCTAGACTAGCCACAGACGAATGCAAGCTTTTTAGCATGGGGAATTTCCAGGAAGGTCTGCCCAGTGTGCTTCCATACCTTGGAAGCAGCATCTGTACACGTAAGTGGTCACGTGCTTAAATTAAAATATGAAAAAAAAAGAATTCACTCTTCCGAATGGTGAAATCCTGTATGGATTACTTACTAATTCAGATACCCTTCATCTTTCAGATATGGATCCAATGATTAATGCATCTTCCATCAACTGTTTTCCTAGTAAGTATATACAATTATACTTAAGAAATTTTTAGAAAAAAAAATACTCAATATAATATAATTTCATGCCAAAATGGGTATAGTTGTATTCAGTTGATAACTGAGGAATGCGTGATGTCTTACAGAGTTTTGGAAGCCAAGTCCAAATCCCCCTATCATCTGCCCCTCTATGAGTGAGATTTTCCAGGATCCCTACAATTGTGCCTACTACTACAAGTGCGACCTGAGTGTTGCCAGGAGAGAGCGATGTCCTTCCAATATGTTGTTTGACAACTTCATTCGCACCTGTAACTACAAGGACGCAGTCACGTGCTACTCCAGGATGACGTGCCCGGAACCTAACGGACTTTTCCCTCATCCTGAATCCTGTAACAAATTTATGAACTGCTTTAATGGAATTCCGTACGTCCAAGAATGTCCTCCAAATCTCTATTTCAATGAAAGAACCAAACTTTGTGATGACAGACAAAATGTGCAGTGCCGTTTACAATAAATTATGTCTCAAGACTTTCACTACAAGGTGAAATATTTAATCCCATATCAACTCAAAGTTGTTCCCAGTGCTTATCTACCGCAGGTCGTTTATATATCTAAGGGTCAAAAGTATATCAATAATTTAAAGAAACCTTTATTGTATGCAAAATTAGAAAAGCGACGTAAAGCATGCTTTCCCTATTTTAATCAAAGGAAAATTAAAGGACCGATGACAAATACATGTACAGTGTAATAAGAAATACATTGTACATTTACTTTCATTTTATCGTTGATATTAAACATAATTATTTAATAAATGTTTATTTTTGTCATCTGTATATTTTTTTCGTTCATCTTATTGATTGTTATTTCATATTGTTGTGTTCTTGTACATTACATGTTAAGTACTTTTCATAATAAAACTGTAAACAATGCAGAGTTTGTCTCAAAGTTCGATTCTTCACTTATAACAGGAAAATAAACTAGAGTTATAGCTTCCTTTTCTTTAGACTGGGACGCCCGATCTGTGCCACCGTATTGTCGGGGCGTGTTCGAAGTCTTTCCTCTAACGTCTGTATGATCTGCTGTAATCGCCTCATCTCGCCATCGTACTCCTGTTTTAGGTTAAGGAACTTCATTCGGAAGATCTCCTGATTGTTTGTACAGCTTGGTTTTGTCTGTTGCTGTTGGAGACGTTGTTTAAGATTTGATATTTTATCTTCCCATTCCATTGTTAGACGCGTCACTTCCCCATTATGATCCGCCTCTCGTTTCTTCAAAACTTTATCCAGGTCTTCCAGTTCTAGGACTTTCTTTTGAATCATTTCCTCATAATGTTTGGTGGTATTTTCTAGTGTCTCGGACAATTCCTTTCGTAAAGCTTCCGACTGATTTTTGTAATCCTGGTGCAATGACTTTTCTTTCTCGTTATAAGTTTCCTTTAATTGTTTAATCTCCTCTAGGATACGTGAGTTCTCTTCGTCTTTTGTTTTGATTTTCTCCCTCAGAGCTACGCTTTCCTCCTCTAAGTCACAATACAGGTACATTTTACAGTACAGACCATTCAGCGAGTCCTGCATTTTCTGGTTTTCGGTCGTCAGACTCTTTATCTTCTCGTTCAGATTCCTGTTGGCTGTCTTCTGGAGATCCAGTTCGTTTGTAAGCTCCGTGTTTGTGTTCAGCAAAGATAGAGTGGAGCTGTACCATTTGTCAAAAGAGGAAGAAAACTTTAGTAAATCAACATTTCCCAAGGATGATTTATTTTCATCCTGTTGTTGATGGTCATCTCTGGCTTTTGAATGGTCATTTACATCCATGTTTCTAAATGATAGAGAAAAGAATTATTACAAAATCTTTTTTAATGCAACGTTGAAACAAATGTTTCCGATCCAACCTTATAATATTAATAGAACAGATAACTGCAGTATTGGTTAATCTCAACAAAGTTGTCTGACGTTTGATTCTCTATCATAAAAGCAGTTATTGCAGTGTCAACTGCTCATTTTCTAAGATCAGCATATGCTTACTTTCTTAGATCTCTTTGTTTTATATCAATAAAATATATGGAGTTAACAAACAGTATTCAAGCTCAAAAGTCCATTAAATAATACAAAATTGGAGCAGAGCAACAAGGACCTCCAAAACATCAAAGGTCGAATCATGTGTCATGGAAGTGTAAGCATTCCTTGTAGACCGGTCACGCCCGTCGTGTGCTCCTTGTCATGATTGGGAAACGGAGGAAAATCTGTCGACAGTAATGGTCAAACTGTTTGTATGAAAAACGTCAATCAGCATTTGACTCAATGAAAATTTGTATTTGCTGATAAGATCATTGTATCGACCAGAGAACTTACGAAATAATGACATTAAACGAGACTGCTGATATTCTTGCATGTTTCATCTACTTGTTTGTCAAGTAATTTACCTCGTTTTAGAAATTGCACATAGAGCATGCTCTTGCGTATGGAATCAACTGTGAGATATAAACCCCCTATGCAGGTGTTGAAGGTATCACTGCTGCGTTAGAAAAAGAAGTTGACGATTGAAAAGTTAAAGTCATCATGTTTATCACAAAGCTTGGTTTTTTTAAGCCATGTCTTTTTTGTAATATATGTAAATATAAAACAGATGTATCAGAATCTGTGGTATCTTCTATTTCAAGCTGCCTGTAATTTATCGTGACACAGGAATGGAAATAACTATTGACAATACGTCAATACAATCACATGAACTTGAAATCAGGGGGTTATAGTATAAAAGGGGAGTATTACACTATATACCCGATTTTCCTAAGATTGTCTCAAGTCCCTGTGAATACAATTGACTGATGAATGCCCCCAGCTCATTCAGGTTGGTAGTGGGGGGGGGGAGGAGGGGGTGTTTCCAAACAAAACTTTATATTGAAAATATGCATTGAAAGGTGCTTCGCCCCCTTTTTTTACAGTATAGAGTCAAATCAGAATAACGTGATAAAATAAAATTTGCTTATAAATTATATACTAGCATTAAAGTGAAAAAATATAAAGATATAAAAACTATAAAGTGTAAACAACTCAAATTTATGATCTGTGAAGAGGGCATTAAACATGGACCATACCCCTGGAAATTCTAGAGGTAGGATCAGGTGACTAGGAGGAGTAAGCATCCCCTGTTGACCGGTCACACTTGAACTTAAACGTGGTTGGAACCTTACACCCCCTCCCCACAAAGTTTTTTCTGCTAAGTTTTTATTTTCTCTGGCTTCCCCTTTTCAACAACGATACTAAGCACCTGTAATTGATGCTTCTCTATAGAAGAAGAACTCTGTATTATATGCCTATCAAATGTTTGTTAGAGGTCAAACAGCAACAGCCTGAACAGGTTTTCCCCTACTTGTTGAAGATGTTCCTATCTTGTAGGCCTTCATAGTTCATACACTGCATTAAGCAATAATAATAGAGGTGTGATCATAATGGTTTGGGCTGCAGATATAGGCCTGGGTAGATTAGCTGGTGGAGCACCTGACTAGTGCAGCATGTATACGGTACCATAATGCCCATATTGTCCCATAGCCTAAAACGTTAGGTTTTTCCCTTTCATGTTACACAGGTACCGAGGATAACATGCAAGGGGGCTGGTAATTGGGGGTATATATTATTTTGATACACACCACAATATACATACACTCATTCCGCTGTTGGAAAGTAATTTTTCCTCGTCACATCAAAATGTCAACAAATGCAGACGACATATCAATCATAGTCAATGCGGCACATATTTACTCGATTGCTTTTTAAAGTTAAATTATGGATGTATTGTATTTTAAAAATTTAAAAATTTGATTTTTAATTTGGAAAGGAAATCTGCAATAGTATTTACAGAGTTCCGATGTTTTCTTTAATATTCATGAAAAATTTGATTGAATGTTCCTACTCCGAATAATTTAGATACAACTTATCAAATGAAGGATATAACGTGGCGAAACCACAACAAACTGAAAAGACTAAGAAAATACTGAATGCATGTAATGTAATAACTTTATGCGTGGTAGGGCAGTTAAGTATGGTTTGTAAAGAAATTTACGGCTCATCTACGGTCTGCAAAAAATATGTCAAGACACAAAAAGATGGATTGCTGGCAGTCGATCTCTCACCAAAATGGACCTCCCTTACACAGTTTTTCATGGTATAGCTCCACAAAGGAATAAACAGGATCATACAATAAATGTTTTAATTTGAAAATTGATTTAAGTATTCTTACTATTTATTAGATCAAGAGTGAGTGCATGTAATTGAATGCATTAATTGCATAAATTTCACCAATAATTTCTGTTCACAAAAATTTATTTTTAGTCCTCTGACATCTTGGGAAATAAGACAGGTGATATTTTTGGAAAATAAACAAAAAGTATAAACCTCTTCATATTTAGTGATATATACAAATTGAATGCTTTTTTAATCAAAATAATTTTTATGATATTTTTTAGAGCTTCCTTAAGATATTATTTCCAAAATAAATCATTATATATCCAATATAAGGCAATTGAACATATTTTTCCTAAGCATTTATGTAAGATCATGTGAGATTTTATTTCCAGAAAAAGTTTTTTTTTTTTTTTTATGAAATAAATAGAGTTTTCAAAATCTTTTTTTCAGGTTGTGTTTCTGCCCCAGGGTTACCCAGAGAGTGTTAGTTCTGATTACCTCCAGTATCAAGTATGGGACACCATTCAGGTGGGTACTACCCAATCCACAACATAAAATATATAATATAAACACGTGGCTGTCCCTATGAAAGGAAGTAGCAATTAACATTTAAAAAAATAGAAGGGTTCTGTGGTAATTAAGGGGTTGAGGGGGAAACCAGAACAACCTTGGAATAATGTTCATATGGGCATGGAAATTCCCCAGCCTGATGGCTTTTGAGAGAAACCTTGTAAAAGTAATGTTTTGGTAAAAAAAAATCATCACTTTAAAATTTTCCATGCTGTTCTCACAATAAAAAGGATTCTAATCAATTTTGTGTTATTTTTGTAGGCCTTTGCCAGCAGTATAACAGGTGCTCTAGCTGCCCAGGCCATGCTGAAAGGGGTGGGTGTCGGGGACGAGAGTGCTACAGTCATGGCAGCAACAATTACCTGGATACTCAAAGGTAAACTTACATGTAGCTCCAGTGATAATTAGAAAACTGAAATTTAATTATTTTTACATTATTTAAAATCAGTGAGGTGGTAAACTTTCAAATCGAATAAATGTGCTTTGTATTTTTTTTATGTGTAGATGGGACTGGTATGCTTGGAAGAATAATGTTTGCTTGGATACAAGGGTAAGACACTGACATGATATCTGAGATAAACACGATTCATGGAAATAAATTGATTCTTCATTTTTGATAATGTATATGAACCTGAAGTGTGTATAATTCATGTTAGATATATGTACTTAGGACATAGTTATGTGAGATTATGTTTTAAATCATGCTTATGATGTCACCTTTTTCAATCTAGGACCAGTTTGGATTGTGATGCGAAAAGATGGAGGTATGAAAATTTAAATAGCACACCATAATTTAACATACTGTATAATATGTAAACAATGAAAAATAATTTTAAAAAAGGTTGAGAGATATTTTAACCAACTTTTCTTACTTAAAAGTAATTAATTTTCAGATTATTTGCAGATATACTGAATGATTTAGCCATTTTCATGGAAATCATGGCTCCAAATTTCAAAACCTACTTCACACCAATAGTTTGTACAGCTGGGGTTTGCAAGGTAAACAATAAACGTCTTAAGAAATATTCAAAACTAGGAGAATATTTTGCATATTTTTGCTAGAACATTAAGTAGATGAGTTAATTTTATCAACACTTTTTAAATGTCTTAAATAATAATTTTACACATATATAAAATGTTTGTTAATAATTTTTATATGACTTAATTCTTGAGGGCCAGTACGTCTATGAAGAAAATCTATTGCAAAAAAAAATACTATATGGTGTGATACACAAAATGTTTTATATGTGATAACCTGTCCAGGATGTAGTGAATATTACGTAGATAAAGCAAAGTTATCTTGGATCCCACAAGCTATATAAATTTAACAAATTCCTTATGAACAGATGTAACGAATTACGGATATAGTCAAGAAATAATTTCACAGAAAAACATTTGAATGTCATTATAACCGCTTAACAATTTTACTGTATCACACTTGCTTATTAACAAGACGCCAAATTTTTGTAGTCAATTGTGGGAGTGGCAGGAGGAGCCACCAGGGCGGCGCTCACTCAGCACCAGGCTCGCAGAAACAATATGGCTGACGTGTCGGCCAAAGATGGAAGTCAGGTATTAAAGCTAGCCAACATCAATTCAGCCTGACAATTCTATTAGTTGGCAAGATTTCTGATTTGGTCTCTTTAAATTTGAGGAGAAACTAGTGAAGTTAGGTTACAATGTAAATGCATTCTCACATTCTTTAATTTCAGGAAACTCTTGTAAATCTGGCTGCACTCAAATACCTACTTCACACCAATAGTTTGTCCCCCTGGTGTCTGGAAATATTCAAAAAGAAGTGTTTGTGATTTTTGCTTTCTTAGGAAAAACTATTTCTATGAACTAAAATACATATTATATGAATATACCAAGTATTATTATTGTCCTGTTCCAGCTGTCTCATTTCAAGCCATTAAATCTCTCTTTCACGAGTTGGGAGTTATAATACTGTCGCGAGATAGTCATTGACTCTTTATTGGCGAGACTTAATTTTCACGAATTGTTGTTTTTCCTCTATATAAACGCAATGTAAATGCATTCTCACATTCTTTAATTTAAACGCTGCACTTATATGAAATTTTCGAAAAGAAGCTCATTGACTTAATGCGTAATTAAATAAAAGTTACATCTGTCTCATTTCAAGCAATTAAATCTTTATTTTAGGGGTTGGGGTGTGTAACGTATAACATTCAATTTCAGGACCATATGGACCTTGTTTGTGCTTTTTACAATGCTACATTTATTTGCCAACTACTCGGCTGTTACCAGTGTTATAATGGAATCTCTCAATCTGGCCAGACTTCACATCCTAGTCAAAGACTACCTACACAATGGCAGAATTCTCTCCCCTGTGGAAGCAAATTACAGAGAACCTGTCCTTTGGAGTAAGTATAGTGTAAATTACTTTTTATTCATGAGAACTTTATTTTCGTGTGATTACATGTCTATTGAGAAAGTGTGCTTGCAAAAATTTGATTCTTGCTACTTATAAAAGTATTCAGATTATATAGATTTGTGAAAATTTTGTCTCGCATATAATGAGTTGATCTTGCAAAAATGAGGTGTTGCAAAATTTTAAAACAGAATTCAGCTGATTCATGAATAGTTTCAGATTTATTTGCTTTTTCAACTTGATGAGCAGTGTTAAACTTTTTCAGGGACAAGAAGAAAGCTGTCCGTTCATCTGGGAACCTCCATAGGCAAAGTCTACAACACGTAAATGACTAGATCTATCTTGTTATTTCAACTGGACATAGACACTGCTATTTTTACTGATGAAGATTTTTACACTTCCTTTTCTATTTCAGAGCTAGCAAATTAGAGGAGGCCATTGCAATATATAAAGGCAGCAATTACCTACTAGATGTAAATTTCAAGTCAGGTTTGTTTGAAATGTTTCTGTTAAAATCCAAAAAGATACTGTAAAATCAGATAAAACTAGTAGAATACATGCATGAATAAGAGTGCCATCAATTCATTGTTACCAGAGTCTGGTGCAATTAATTTTGAAATGCTGACTCTTACTGTATACAGGGAAATTTTCGCCTGGTTTTATTTTTGCCCCTTTCGCTCAACTCTCAATTGGGCAAATTTAAAACGGGGCGAATTCAAAGAACACAGTATAATTTTTTAATCAGAATTGTTACTGGGCGAATTTTAAACGGGGCAAAATTGTTTGCAAGTGTTAAAGGGCGAAAATTACACGGGGCGAAAATAGCCCTGTATACAGTAAATATTTTATTGTAATCTCTTCAAAGATTTGTAGAGAAGGTTTGACCCATTCATTGGATTTACTTGATTCAAGACCCCAGGTCATACTTGAGCATGCCAACTGGATTATCTTTCTCTTTTCATGTATACATGTTTAGTCATTCCTCTTGCAATCATGCAATTAGTATTGATTTTTATAAGCCCCAAAAACACACACAAATATAAAAATATTCCAGCAGCTCATCTGAACTGAAATGTCTATAAAATTAAAAGATTGCCAGAGGTAATTTGTGTGCTTGTAAATTTGTCATTTGGTATTTAATAATACCAGTAAAATAAAATTGATGTACACATTCCGTATAATAAGAGGCCTGTTTACTTGTAGGTTGTATATCGATAGTTCTGTCCTCTGACAGCACACCTGAGGATCAGCTACAGAGCTGTGTACAGGCAGAGGTTATCACTTACGTGTATGAAAACCTGTATAAAAATACGGTAATGCTCCAAAAAGTACCAATTCCTAACCATTCCCCACTCCAAATGCGAAATTAAATTTCTTTGAAAAAAATATTCATGAAGGTGAAGGAAGTATGACAAACATTCTTGAAATTTGTAGTTTTTATAAAGTTCATATGAAAGATGTTTCTAAACAGGGTCTAAATGCTCTGACAATTTATGTCTTGAAATTCTAAACTATGATCTCTTTTTATGCCCCTTTAAATATACTGTCATTATATTTACATAATGTCATGATGTAAAAGTAATTTGTATAAGTACATTCATGTAATATGTTCATGTAATCTATTGTAGGTGTTTTCAGATGAGCTCGGTGAGATTGCAGCAGCTCTAAGAGAGGGTTAGTACAAGATTATATGACCTCATTAACTCTGGTGATTATAAGTTTGTATGATAACATTATTATTGCATTATATAAGTGTAGTCCTTAAAACTGCCATACAATTCAATTATGTATCTATTTCATGCTGTATTAAACAAGGTTATTTTAACCATTGGAAACAATTTAATCTTATTTAAAACTCGACCAGTCACAGTTCTGTTTAAGAAACTGTACAGTGGTACTTTTTTTGAAAAATTTTCACATTTTGCTAATTAACTATGGATAACAGTGATGATCTGCTATTACAGGTGATTCAGCTAAGACCAGTGAGGCCTCCCTCTGTTACACCAAGTCTCTAATACAGGGATTCCGCGGTGCCCTCACTGATCAGGGCTGGGTTTGTGACCCCTTGTTATTGGGACCGGATGAGTGGCGTGCTGAGTGGGACAACGTAGGACTACTGGATAAAAAGGATGTCTGAATTCTGTATTAAATCATTTCAATGTTTACCCTGTTTATAGTTTTTTCTTAAATGTATAGTTTTGGTCTTTTTGTTCTGCTGTATGAAATCATCACAAAAAATGATTCCAAGGACAAGGATTTTTATCCACCCTGTCGGGTTGTCCAGTTGGCCATTAGCCTTAGTTAGGAACATAGACCCATTCAGGAAAGTTGACAACTTCCATCCATGTAAATTATTATGGTGGTTAAATTGCTAAGGAAGTATAATATTTTTAGTCTACAAATGCATTTGACACAACTCGTCCAGTAAAAGTACTTGCCATATTAATTAATAAGTTCTAAAAATAAGAATGATGTATGGACATTGGCTGATTGACTCTGTCATAGGAGAGGGGGAAAAACCCATGCAAAATATGATTATCTCCCCACCCCCTCCAACTAGGCAATATATGTACTATACCAACACAAAAATTGCTTGTAGGCTGAGGGTGCGACATCACCTTGACCTGGGGTCAATGTCACTGAGAAAAAAAATTACAAATGTGTTTCTAAAGGAGAAACACCAAAGTTCATACTTCACATAGAAATTACTTTTTACCTATTGATATGTCATGACCTTGAATCAAGGATATTTGGGCAAGATCAAGGCACTGGCAGATCCTGCAAACAAACTACAAATTCTTGTGTATTGATGACGTAAATGCAAGAAAAGGGCAATATAGGGGTACATTAAACCCATCTAGAAATAATATATGCTTATTGGTAGTTACAACCTTTGACCCTGTTATTTGTAACTTCAATGGAAAAGATGTGTCTGTAGACTACACTTGTGTGTTGTGATACATCGATCTTCCTCCCAAGATGCATCAACTGGACAGGTTTCAGTGTACAAGATCCAGAAATTACCTGGATGTGTTTAACCCATTGTTTCAAAAGAGACCAAGTTGATCTTCTATAGGTTTGCTACACACTTTCCTAACAAAATGCATTATGTATCGATATAAAATACAAATGAACTAAGTAACCTTATTTTGTACCATTCCCTAAAAAATGCATCAACTAACAAGGTTTGAGGCTCAGTGTGCAATACAAGTACATAACCAAATGGTGTGTCTTAATCAAGGTACCAAATGACCTAAGTACTAGAGACCTCTGTAACCTCAAAGAACAATGAAAATACATTTATCAAACAGATTTTTTTTTATTTTCATCACTTTCTGTACACGTGGCATATTGCACATAGAAATAAAGAATCAACAATGGTCAGAAAACTCACAGTCATGCTCACAATAATAGCACATATAATGTGGGAAATATTTCGTCACATTCAGAGACTCAGATTTACCATGGCAGATACAAGTCATTTCACTTTAATTACTGTATGTAATTTTGTGTGAAATACCATACTAAGAGTAGTTTAAACTTTTTTTCAATGCAGACAGAGAAAAATAATGTTGCGATTGTGTATACACTACATTTTTACAACAGACATCAATTGTTCATGAATATTTTAATTTAAAAAAATATCCGTCATGAAGATCTTAATAAAAAATTTGAGATCAAATACTCATGAGAATCGGGAATTTTATCTGTACTAAATATAAAGTTACTTTGACTTGTTAATGTTTTTAATATCTCAACAATTAATACTGTTAATACTGGAAATTTTCTTACAAGCATTTGTTCTAAAACGTATTTTTCACTTTAGACCATTTTTTTTAAAATCATGGCATAACAGCGACATCAAAATTTGGTTTAAAAATACAAGATTTCAAACAATAGTGTTGACATTTCAATATGAGGAATACTGTAGAATAAAGTGTAGAAGAGTAATGCCCAGTCTATAATTGAATAATAAAAAGATGTAACTAAGACTTAAATGACTGACAAAGTCATACAGACCAGTAGAGTGACACACACACATAATAAAATAGCCTAAAAATTTCTCGACTTTTGAATGTGTAGTGAAAATGTGATCTGCATCTGGTACACACTTTCATAGTTTTTACATTTGACTTTCATTTCATTTTAACTTATCAGAAAACTTGTATATTAATCCAAAATAATTTTTTTTTTATTTGATAGTTCTCTGGACAAATTTGAGTCATACTAGAGAGAAACATGTAAATTGCAAGTTTAACAAATTTATTACAGTTAGAGTTAAGTAAATTCACAGGTCCCCAGGACTTAACCATTGTAACCAAGTTTTACTGTATCATGTCAAATAATTGTGCCAACAGATTGATTCAATGATTACTATAAAGTGTCCTCTCATACTAAAACTTCTATACTCAGACATTTAATAACATCTCAACATATCAATCCATTATTCAATTTTTAAGTCCATTGTAACAAAGATGTAAATGATTGTAGATGCACATGACACACACACTCTATTCCTCTACTTATATGAGGTATCACAGCATGCTTTTAAGTGTGCACTCTTCATTCCTATCAATGTTGAGAAAAAGCAGCTACTGGAATAGGACCCCCCCTCCACCCACCCCCCCTATCAATCTCCCACAGACATATAAATCAACATGGAGGTATCTTCAATCACACATGCCCAGACAAGTCTGATATTGCATGATGGGTACAAAGTTATGAAACACTACATGCATAAATAATGACGATGACGGACAAAGTAAAGCATTGCTTTGCTGTCGCAAGGAAAACAGTCAACTGGTGAGCTATCTAGACATTCCTATATGTAGCTAAAAATTTAATTTCAGTCACCATCCTTCAGATAATCAGAAATACAAAGTTCAATACATGTATAATAAAAAAAAAAAGGACATTTAACCAGTTCTTAAATTCCAAAATCCACAAGACTTTGAAATCTGCAATGTCAATGGTAGCTAAGATCTGACTGTCTATAATACATGTATCAATTTAACTGCATTACTGTAATAGCCCCTTTTCCAATTTTCTATGTAATATATCTGTACATAGATATTTGCAATTAAGCATAAATCACTGATGCATAAATCCATTTTCTACAATGATATTCTCCCCTCCAGTAATGCCTTCGAAATATTTCCCTTTGGTAGATGCACAATTTATATGTTTATTTCTATTCTTGCAAACAAGTTACGCTTATTGATATAGGCAGACTGGCAAGCCCCGTTTCCAATTTTTTTTAACCCAGGGTGAACATTGAACTTTTTTACTCTGTTTCATGAAGGATGATGTTGAATAAGATGGCTTACTGAATTTTGCGGTCAATATTTTGAATTTGTTAAAAAAAGAAAGAAATTAAAATACATTTATCTTAGGATAAAAAATAAGAAAAATGATATGTACAAATAATAAACTATATGGTAATAAATAATAACACAGTCATTATGCTTTATCCAGTGTCTACATATAATAATATAAAAATGTTTCCATGGTGATTTCTATAAGACTACTGACCCTAGAGAAGAATGAATGGTAGGTCTACATTATAATGATAAAAATGCACATCGTGAAGTCATTCAGAATTATCTACCACTCCCTATACATTGCTAATTAATGGTCATGGCGCAATATATCACATTTGCATAAAGGTTTTAAATGTTCTGCAGACATGCTCTTTGGAAGAGCAGTGTCGTATGAAAATTAAGGAATGTCATTGTAAAGCACTTTCATTCTCTCATGTCCACATGTTCATCCTTGTCATAATACAAAATAAATATTTTAAGTTTGAAAAATAAACTAAAATTTTTGTTTTACATACATGTATAACAAAGTTTCTAATAAAAAAAAAAGCAGCAACAAAGGATTTGGAAAAAAAGAACCTCATATTTGGACAGAGTAAAAGGGTGAAACCTTTTCAAAAAAATATTACAATTCAATTAAAAATTTAAATCAACATCTGTTATATTTACTTTGAGCATTTTTCACATGTAAAATGCACACTTTTCTCACACAACTCTGGAATGGAATCGGATGAGGGTGAAAAGCATGAATTAAATAAATAACAATCATTGAACATACACAAAATAAAAGCACTTAGGAGTCCATATCTGTCATGTCCCTACAAGTTGTGCTTGATTCACATTCTTTATCTTTATAGAACATCAGGCATGAAAAAGGACCACATTTGGGAGAAAAAAAAGTTTGGTCATATTTAGATTGGGTACAAGAATTAATTAATAAACTTTCTTTTGGAATTCCTCCTGTGTCTTTTTGAACCTGATGACCTGGATAACTACTAGACTGTGTCAGATATTAATTATCACAGTATAAGAAAGACGTGGTTCCAGATGAGTGATTAGGCGGTGAACACAGAGTCCACGCTCCGAGACAGGTGGACAGGATGGGAGGGGCTCCGCACCAGACGTTTCTTTGGGAGCCTCTCTATCGCCTTCAGGAGGTGCTTAAATTGTGGTCTGTCGTCCGGCTGGTACGTCCAACAGATCATCAGAACATCCTGTGAAAGGGAAGTCAATCTGATTATACTAAAGCAAATGGAAATAACTCTAAAAGATTTTTTAAATTAGATTTTATTTTGAAAATAAACTAATATAAGAATTTTCAATATCATCATTAACATTTCAAATTCTTCTTAGTGTGTAATGGCTTTTACAATTTATAGAATTTGAAGTAAATCATTGTCATATTTATCTACAAAATATTTCCCTGTAGAAAATCTATATGTTTAAGGCCAAAAAAAAAAATATCTCTTTGCCTCTGATCCTTTTTATTGAAAATCATCATTTTTTAGGGTTTTGTACAATGTAAAAAGCTGCCTCATCATGTTTTAGGGGCAATAAAAAAGAAAAAAATGCCTCCCTCCCTCATCATCATTTTAAAAATATATACATGTATATTTAGAATCTATCCTGCAGTTTTATTTCAAAGTCCACCAAAATATTTCTAATAGAGCAAAGAAAATAAAAAGAAGATAAATGCAATCATGTCATAAAATGCAAAATCATTCTTTTAATTTGATACATTTTAAAACCTGTATGATCCAAGAGCAACTTTGATTAAGAGCATTTTAACTGCAATATTGTAGCCCTCTCTGATTTTTTTATGGTAAGAGTATATTATCTTTGTTCTTAGCTTCTGAAACTTTCATTATATTGGCATACTGGAAATTTAGCACATAACTGTAAGCTATGGTCTAGAAGAAGAGCCATCTTCAATGTTTACATACATGATGTGCATATTTTCAAATTGGTTGATTTCATATCGAAGCCTTATTGTCAGTGTGTATTAAAGGTGCATGAAGATAATAAACTTTCACAAAAAACCTATACTAAATACTTTTCAAAGCTGGATTTCTTTGGGTTTATTAAGCTAATTCACACCAACTTTGAATTAAGCACAATTACACTCTGTATTCCTTTAAAGAAAAAGTAATAATGTTGTGTTCTATTGTGAACCACCATCAATGTTCTTCTTCCAGAGTTTCCTCAGGCTGAATTATATGTAATAGAGAATTTGAACATCTGTGCCCTTTTACACTGCAGACTTATATATAACCCATATATGGGTAAAATATCAAAAAAGAACAAATCTAAATGAAATATTAAAGCACAAGTCAATGCACATAGCAGGAAAAAATTACAAGATACCACATCAAACTAATTGGTAATACAAAACGTGCTTACACATATAATATATAAGTGATGTCAGCAATTTAAAATCACACAAGTATAAAATCAAAGGCTACACTACAAAATGCAAAATAAACAGACATGGAAAGTTAGAATAAAAGAAAAAATACTGCAGATCTGATGCTCTGCAGTAAAATATGGTGGAAGTTAGAAAATCTCTACCCCCTTCCTGCTACATGTAACAGTATCTAACTTTTCAAGGTATATACACTCCACACATTTTGGTGGGGTAGGAAGTTCGGAGATTAAGGGCATGCAGCATGCTTTAGACTGTAGGGTGGGTTACATGACACCGTATTAGTCCCTACCCTAGGGGCCTGGCACCCAGGACCACTGGATCAGAGGAACGCCTATAATTAAAGGACTTGGGCGGAATCCTAGAGGACAGTTTGCGAATGTGTTCAAACAACTGATTAAATTCGGGTCTATCAGAGTGTTTGAACGACCAGCAATAGCAGAAAATATCCTGTAAAGGAGAAAATGATTAGTGTGAAGATTGACCTGCTTCACATTGGTCAAATGTGTCACCTGTGTTCTATTCCTTCCATTCCTCTTACCTATGTCCTGTGTAGTTAGGATAGCCGTAAATGTAATTTTACTTTGCTTTTTGATCAATATGAAATGAAGTTAAACTGCATGTATACTAATTTATTGAAATATGTGTTCCTATTATTCTTGAGAAAAAAGGCTTTTTACACATAATCCTTGTACACTGTGTGTGTACTCTGAAACAATATCTTCTGATGAAAAGTTACAGCCAAGACTGAAGTACTTGTGAAACTGGCATACATCACAAATATAGCGCAGTGCATGCAAAACTGTTGTCACAAATAATGCAAATGGGGAAAATATGAAAGCACTGTCTCTGCAGGTGGAAAATTAAGTCAGATGTCATGGTCATGGGGAAAACAGTCATTATGTTATGAAAATGTCTTGTCACAGATAATGCATATGTAAAAATATCTCTCATCAGAAGCAAACATTGACATGTAGGTCAAACTTCAAGACCACTGTCACAAGATAAAATACGATAGTATTCCTGAAAAAATGTTTTACCTGTGAAATAATAAAACCTGATTTTCCCACATTCAAAATTTATTACCACTGAATGTAATTTTTTTTATCAAAGTAGGTCAAACTTTAAGGTCACTGAAACAAATGTGGAAATGCCTTGTCACATGTAATGCAAGTGTGAAATATAAAAGCCTTTTCTCTTCTTATTCAAAACCTATACCAATTTCCCCATGCTTTAGTGAAAGCGGGGGACAATGATTAATATGAGGAATAAAATAAGCCAATCGCACACTACCAGTACACAGGTGACACAAATCTTAACTGCATTTCTGTTTAAACAATTCTCAATGCAATATATTACTAGCAAGCAGCACAAGAAAAACAAAAAATGTGCTCAAAATTGTGAAATAAACAACAAATTATCCACACGTTTATGAGTACATAGCAATTACATTTAATAGCCAATATATATGGAATATGTTATTAAATTATGCTACAAAATGTATATGTAAGTATGCAAAAGTATCACAGATTTGACAAAGCTACACAAATATTGCCTCTGTAAAGACTAAATTCACATTATATATATACACACACTATTCAAAGCTGCAGCAAAACAAGTTGATGATGCAGAAAAATACTGACCTTGACCTCTTTTGATGCCATCACACTCCCCAGAGATTGTTTGATCCCTCTCCCTACTTGCCATATGATGCACTCTGGTGCTAAGTTTCTGAAAGGCCAATCACCTACTAGCAGCTCATACCAAATTGTGCTGTGGAAAAAAAGTTGTTTTTTTTTTTTAGAGAATATTACTTAATTAGGAGACCAAAATTTACACATGTACATGTAGCTTAACTTTTCACCAGTAATTGGGGTCAGTTCCATGTATGCAACTGTTATTGAAAGTCTAATAAATAACAAGTACCTGTATGTGATTCAAAAAGTTTAAATGAAATATTTACTAAACTTTAGCTTGTTTAATTCTCAAAAGTACATACCCAAATGCGTAAACATCGGACTTTTCAGAGAATGGTAGGTCCACTTTGGATCTCCCGGAATGAAGACACCTGATGACCTCAGGGGAGAGGTAACACAACCAGCCCGGGGAAATGTGGAGGCAGTCACCCTTCCTGTTATATATTTATGATCCAATCAAATTCCGTAACACACTGTGTATCATTTAACAATTCAATCAATTTTTTGTAGCATATAATGTATTTATAATCGAATCAAATTTCATGTAACATAATTATCCAAACATATGCTATAACGTTTACATAGAAAACTTAAAGTGCACATTTTAATTCTTTTATCGGAGAAATTCAAAAGGTAATCAGTTATATGTGAAAAAAATGAATACATGTAACCTGAACTTTTTATATACAGAAATGTGAATATCTATGAATAGAAATAATACCTGTTGCCATGGCATATTTTGGTGACACTAAATAATCCAAAATCTGTAATTACAACTTTGCCATTTTCCAAGAAAATGTTCTTTGTTTTTAAGTCTTTATGGATTATTCCTCTTGCATGTAGATAACCCATGCCCTAAATAAAAATTGATAAAGTTCTGTGTCTCTTTCCTTGATATTGTCATTTTTTTTTTAAAGAAGCACAAAAGTTGAAGCCCAAGAATGTCAATAAAATCACAGTAATTAGAATATCTCTGAGGATTCAAGATCTTAAATGAGATTCATATTTATGGACTATTACTCAAACTTAACCCACAAAAACCTACCTGTGCTATTTGTTGAGCTATCAGAATTGTTTTGTTCATGTTGAATTTTTCCCGAGCATTCGTCCGGACATAGGTATAGAGTGTTTGACCACTGCAGTAACTGTCAAAACAAAACAAAAAAGACATCAGAATCAGTACTTATTTCCCACCCATGCACAAACAACCTGGTATATTTGTTAAAGGATTTTTCCTTACAATAAACTGTTGTACAGATTTCTACATTGGTGTTTAGTTTACCTGGTAACTATGGCAAGCTGGGGTGGTTTCATACAAGCACCCATAAACAGTAACAGGTTTTCATGCCTTGTGTTCTTCAACATTGCCACCTTAAATTAAGAGATGAATTAAATATTTTTTTTGTTCCTGATCATCATCTTAGCAACAAATATTGAAAAGCTTTCTAGATATAAGTTTGTTGACAGCTACTTGAAAAGCTGGCTAAATATAACTTTTGAGAACTACTTTCTTGAAATATTTTGATCACTGATCCTTCAAATTCTGTAACAGTAATCCATTATCTCACAATTTTCTTACCTACTCTTTCCTGAGACTTTTTTTTTACCTCAAGCTCAAATATTAAATAATTGCAATCAGAGCTTATTTATTTGAATTACCTTGAATACGAATGTTATTGCTATGCTTAGTTATTTGATTTGATTTACCTCAAGTTTAAATGCTGAGAGCTGAGCTTGGTTGTTATCAGAGTCAGGGTCCATATGTAACATTTTAATGGCTACTTGACCATGCCATGTACCCCTAAAAACAAACAGACTAAACTGAAAATCTATGACTTATATGAATTAGAAAATAGGGCTGGTAATCAAATACAGAACTGCAAACTGGTTAACCGCAAGACATTCTGAATGATTAACCTATTTGTTATATCAAAATACACATTTTGTAGACATTCTTTTTTCAATTAAATTCAATTAAATTCAATTTATAGACCCCCCCCCCCAAATCCAACCGAGTAATCGGTCAACGGGTCATAAATTGCTATCCCTAGAATATAACAATCTATAAAATTTTAAAAGTTACATATGTTTATAAGTTTTTTTGTGAAGTAGAGTGTACATCTAAATCAGAGCAAAAAAAACCCTGATATCCAAGGGCAAAAAACGTGTATTTAAGTTTAATATTTGACTCCACAATACTTACTTGTATACTGTTCCAAATCGACCTGTTCCAATTTTATCCATTAAATTTAACTGTTCAAATGGGATATCCCATTCTTTTAACGTTACAGAAAGCTGCAAATGAATATCAATAAACAGTTTATAAATCTATGCACACAAACCTAAATATCTTTAATAAGATATATTTAATTTTGGTGTAGCAAGTTAAAAACTGGCATAGCTTTCAGAAAAAAAAAACTGAATCAGATATTCCAGTGCATACACAAATCTACACATATTCTTATTAACTATGAACATGATGAAGTTTTTCTAAATTCCATTAAGCAGTATGAGAGTAGTTGTGCTGAAAAGAATTAGACTGACAGAATGATGGAATGTTTCTTATTTACTTTCCTATGACTTTTTGTGGTGAGATATATATTATACATACACTGTTGCCGCGATCCCAGTGGTGAATAATGCCATCCTGACTGTCCATAGAATCCTCTCTCTCAAGAGTCTTCTCGGACGCATTGCTCTACAATATACAAAGTATTGAGTAAATACTTTACAACATACAAAATACAGAAAGATTATTCTACAACACACAGTTAAATTAAGAGTAAATACTCTAAAACACAAAAAATACAGAGTAAACACTCTACAGCATACAAAGACAAAATATGGAATAAAAACATCAAACATTAATTATATTTGTGTATTAATGCTAAGACTTGTGTTCAGATGAATAAAATTGTACAAAATCATTTTTGTGTACGCAGCTCTTCTCTATTACTTAATGAAATGGAAAGATTTCCTTTTCTGTTGAGCATTCTGTTGATAGTTTACTTTTACCTAGAGAACCCCAACTCTCTGATAATTCAAGCAATGGTTAGAGGCTCTGATTAATATGCACAATCTCAAGATACTGTAAAATCAAACATTTCGTTGGGTCAAATTTTCAAGGCTTAAAGGAAAAATATTGGTTTGTGGGGAACTGCTTTCATGCTTGGAGAATGTTAAGTAGTAATGCATATGAAAGTTTACATTTCGTGGTGGACATAAATTCGTGGGTCTCCCCATACCTTGAAAACAATGAAACTTAAACTAATATGAACACTAGTAATTTCAAAGTAATTATCTTTTACTTACATCAACTAAAGTTTTGTTGCTATCATCTGATGTATTAGTACCAACAACGTCTCTGAAAATAACAACAACAAAAAAGAAATATATAACAAAATCTACTCCCAGAAATCTTTCTTCTGTTTTTTTTTTTATTTCTAAACAAATGAAAATTAAGACCTAAGAATTGAAAATGAATCATTTTAGATGGTAAGATATTGAACTCCTGAAGTGACAAATTATAGAGTTGATTGCTTTTGTTCGCGATGCTAACTTTATGATTGACTTACTGGACACTTACTTTATGAATGACGAATTAGACACTTTGTGATCGACTAATTAGACACTTACTTTATGATCGACTAACTGGACATTTATTTTCTGATTGACTAACTAGACACTTAAATTATGACTATCTAATTAGACACTTACTTCATGATTAACTAATTAGACACTAACTTTATGATTGACTAATTAGACACTTACTTTATGATTAACTAATTAGACACTTACTTTATGATTGACTAATTAGACACTTACTTTATGATTGACTAATTAGACACTTACTTTATGATTAACTAATTAGACACTTACTTTATGATTGACTAATTAGACACTTACTTTATGATTGACTAATTAGACACTTACTTTATGCTGGACACTGACCTCCGACTGGACACAGAAGATTCTTTTCCTACAAAGACTTCTCCATCAGCACTGGATTTTACAATCTCTGTTAAAAGTTTTAACAAACACTGAATAAGTCATGAATATACTATACATTAACTTAAACATTTATGGTCATAAATACAGTATACAACATTTAACATTTAAAATTCATCAGGTTTTTTTTTTTCGATCTACACAGCTTACAACAGTTGAAATATCATACCTTAATTATCATTCTCACCTGGGTAAACAAAGGTTGTGGAGTAGTCCTGTGTGTTAGCGGGGGAGGGGGTATACCTCATTGTGGCAGGGGAGGAGGGGGTGGAAGAATTACAAGAGGAGGGATTTGAACCGGAATCTGTGTTGTGGAAAGCGGGCGCTGAACTGTTCTTATGGGGTTTTAAATGAATGCCATTTCTTTCTGCACTTGGACTGGGTGAACCTATAAAAGGATAATGTAAATAAAATTATATACTGTCCAGCAATTACGCAAATCTTACAAAATATAAATACATGATGTATATCAATTCTTGGTACTATGAATTAAAAAAAATTCTCTGAGTCATATAGTGTCTAGCAATTAGGGAAATCTTACTAAATATAGATACATGTACATCACTTATTGGTACTATAAATTAAAAAAAAAATCTCTCAGACTTTTTTTAATCTTAAAAGAAAAAGTCTTTTCCTTTCCACATATTCTGCTGATTTTAAAGATGAAATTGTTAAAAAATTCCACAAAATTTATTTCATTTTTCCCCCTTTTAATGAAAATTCAAGTCATCTTACATGCATCAACTATTGATGGAGCTCTCCCTTCACTGAATTATTCTTTCTTTTACTCAGATAATTTCTTACCGTCCCTGTGTTTATGGTCTAAGGAATAGAAATCTGGTAAGCACTGTGATGGTGCACGACTCGTACAGTCTCTGTGACACTTAAATCTAAAAGTCAAGGATAAATACATTACAGTAACAGACTCATAAGAGTCAGGTTAAAAGTATAGAAAAACCAGAAGTCTCTGTCGAGACTGAAGCTCTACTAGTTTGTACTTATAGCAAAGGAAGAGAAAAGTACTTAAGCAGTTGGAAATTGAAACTTTTCGACAGCAATAGATAGAAAAATGATCCTTGATTCTCTTTATGTTCTTAGTGCAGTCTACTTGCATGCCACATTTATATTATAATCAGACTAAAATTGTATTTGGAGTAGCATTTTGAAAGAATTTCACAGAAATTTCTATTTTTAGTAACAGGGCTCGAGCTGTGATTCGCCATTGTCGCCAATTGCGAATTTTTTTCAAAAGTGGCGAAAAGAAATTCATAAGTGGCGAAAATGAATTTATTTTTTAGATGTACCATGTACAAAATTTGTGTAGTCCTGGTTAGCTCCTTTGTTTATTCAATGTACACAGATAAGTCCCTTTGTTTACTTAATGCAGCAGAGGTGTGAAAACTGAAACCTACATGTAGGAAATCACGTCTCACTTGAACGAACAGAGCTGACTAGGTAACTAGCCCGGAGCAATAAAGGGTTACATAATTGCTTGAAATAATATAATTTGGATTAAACAAAAGGGGGGAAGTGTTATTAGGAGATGAAATTAGTAAATAAAAGATTTTTATCAACAAAATCTGGATCTATGTAGATCGTTTTTTTTAAACCGAAAGTAGGGAAACATGACGAAAATTGTAAAGAATGGCTTCAAATTTTACCTACTGAAAATTGAAAAATGTGTACATCAATATATCATTAACTTACAAAGAGTGAAAAAGAAATTGGTTTGGAAACATATTTATCTTCAGTAGTTTAGTTAGTAAATTACACTGAATTATATTTACAATAACATGAGCTTGCATATTAAACCCTGGTCAGGAGTCTCCAAGTTTAAAAAATGTCATATTTTTACTAGGTCTATCCCCCCCCCCCCCCCCCCCCCCCTTCCCAGGCGAAAAAAAATATAATCAAGAGAACTTTTCTGTCAAGAGTTGGCTGATATCAATACAATATTAAATTAATTGTGTAATTCCAACATTATTATTTTTTTCTTTTTTTAAATGGATACTACCATAAGCTTTAAACATTACAATTTTAAAACAATGTCAGTGTCAGATAAACATAATAAAAAAAATTGAATAACAAAAAGTCCATTGCATTGTCGTGAAATCAGATGTAAGTATGCCTTTCCTTAAAGCTTGTGTCGCGAAAAGTGGCGAAAAATATTTTCGGTCCAGTGGGAGCCCTGTTTAGTAACCACGGCAACACAGTTCATCGAAATCAAAAACAGATAAATAGAATTATGTATCTTATTGTAGTCAACTTGTGTGCCAAGTTATATTGAAATCAGACTAAAACTGTAGAAGGAGTAGCATTTTGAAAGAATTTCACAGAAATTTCTATTTTTAGTAACCACGGCAACAACGTTCATCGAAATCAAAAACTGATATACAGAATTGTGTATCTTAGTGTAGTCTACTTGTGTGCCAAGTTATATTGAAATCAGACTAAAACTGTAGGAGGAGTAGCATTTTGAAAGAATTTCACAGAAATTTCTATTTTTAGTAACCACGGCAACACCGTTCATCAAAATCAAAAACCGATACACAGAATTATGTATCTTAGTGTAGTCTACTTGTGTGCCAAGTTATATTGAAATCAGACCAAAACTGTAGGAGAAGTAGCATTTTGAAAAATTGTTTACAGACAGACAGACAGACGGACGGACGACGGACGCATTACTATCGCATAAGCTCTTCTGGTCTCTGACCAGTAGAGCTAAAAATTAACTATCTCAGATCAACTTTTACATGATAAATTATATTAATAATTCCTAAACAGAATTTGACTTATTTTTCTGTTTTCAGAATATCATTTGATTCAAATGTTTCAATTTTAGCTCTTCAAAATGTGTTTCAAATAAACAAAATATCAAAATACAAATACTTTACATATAAATGTATTACACAAAACTATTAACAACAATGAATTCTGTGAAATCACTTAATTTCGTGTGGATTTCATTTTTATTGTCTTTGTTGTTTGAATAGACCCCAAAATACATGTTATCCACAATATTTAAATTTTAAATAAATGATAACTTAATACTTAAAATGTATTCCTCAACTGACCCCACCAAAATATGTGATTTTACAGAACATGTATACATGTACAATATTTTCATAATATCCAAACATGAACACCTCAGCTAAAAAAAAAAACACAGCTGTACATTTGTGCATATTTACATGAATAAGTTTCCTCACTACATTCAAACTGAACTCAGTAGTGCACTAACCATTGTGCCAGAGAAACTAAAATTTCTTGATCAAGTGAGATTACTTATGCTCATATAATACTCAGGTAATTAAGGGCTGTCAATGATGGGGTCCATATAAAATATTGTTATACCCTTATAAATATAGCTTTCTATATATTTATTACTAATAAAAAGTCCAACAAAAGAAATGTTTATTACATCGGTCTAACAATTTTACTGTTGACTGGCCTGCCGGTCCAACATAAGAATTGTTAGACCGCAACGTCACAAGTGATTAATCATCGTTAAATATCGGCAACACTGAAATAGCCGAAGTTAAGAGCTGCAAGAGTTGTTGCTAACAGCAAGGTAAGGAAGAAGGAAAGAGTATGTTTTGTGATAAATAATTTTTGTGATACATTGTATGATAAAAATATAATTAATTTGGTTCTTTTTCAGCTATTGTTTTACCTTTACTGTAGTTCCATGTAAAGTAATTGATAACATAGTGTGTATTGATTAAATCTTAAATGAGCACTGAAGGGTATAACAAAACAGTTATAGACTGGGATTTGGGCAACATATGATTTGTTGGACCTGAAGGTGAAAATGTTGCCCTTGGCCTGCGGCCTTGGGCAACATTTTCACCTTCAGGTCCAACAAATCATATGTTGCCCTCATACCCAGTCAATAACTGCATATTCTCCAACTTTAAATGCTTTGTTTTAATATCAATACAAAATTACATACATGAAGACTAATTCAAACAAAGTCACAATTTAACCACCAGGTCAGACAATAAGCTTCATGTAGAATGACAGGGAATGACAATATACTAACAGTTATCTGACAATTACACTACCCAAGCCAGCATATTACAGTGTCATATCTGATTTAAAATTACATTTATTTTGAAAGATCACTTTATATACATAAAAACTTGATTTCTTTCTTTCCCCCAGCAAGCACACAAAAGCTCCAATTTTCATTGATAAATGCCTAGTATTGTTAAGATGGTTCATCACCATTTGTTAGCACATTTCAACAAATTAGTACCACCCATCATGACTTAGCACAGGGCACCATAACTTACTTGCAAATTTTACAGGTCTTTCCCATGAAGTAAATCTGCTTTGAACAGACTTCACAGGTACCACTCATTATGTAGCCTTTCTTAAATCTAGGATAAAACACAACACAAAGTGAAACTAAAGACACAACACATAATGTGAGGGGGTGTGACTTTATACAGGTAAAAGTAGTGGTCATAAAAAAGTTTTAAAAAATATACAACCACAACATTTTCTGACACTATCAATATGTAAAATGTTATCATTCAAACTATTTACAAGCCAAATTCAGCTTTTTTTGCTTTCAGTAAAATCTGATAAACATTTAGAATGTTTTTTATTCAAAATACTTACTAGGTAAACTCATCTTTTTTTGCTTTCAGTAAAATCTGATAAACATTTTACACATCTGAGGTCTGACAACATGGATTCTATTTTGACAACAGTTAGCTCCCTTACTTGCACACTTTACACTTGTATCCAAGAAACATTTGTTTGTGACAGAAGTCACAAGTCGTGATCTTAAAAGTGTTTGATATCCTACGACAAGGCAAAATTCACAAATAAGAAATGCATAAACAAGCATTATCATTAAAATGGTGTTCTTGTTAAAATATATGCATTTTACACTTTTATTTTACTTTAACACTTCTATTACACTTTTGTATTCTGTATATTAACCTTATAGCACAAGAGAATTAATGTTTATCCATACTACAAATTAACCATCCTAAACTTAATCATACATGAATAACATCAACTAAAACTCAATCTGAATTAAATACCAAATGTCACGAAAAATTCTCAAACCTGTGAACAAATTTAGGAGACCGAGGAATACTGAGGTTAGCTGAAAAAGAAAAGAAATACCAGTATTACAATAAACCCCTGCTAAAGTACATATAGAACTCTGAATGCACCTAAATCTACCACAAACTGAAAACTGACTATATTATACAGTTTATTTTATGTATTATAAAACATATCTGAAGTATGCTGACAATTACAAACTATGATTACAAGTACCTGAATAATGTAGAGTTGTAAGGGGTGGAGGTTTGTCATGATTCAATATGACATGCTTATATAAATTTGGGGGTAATGTCACTGTGTAATGTTTGACTGTGCACAACAGTTTTGTCACTCATTGTCTAGGTATCAGAGGCTTGTAACTGTGGGGTCCTACTTTGTAAGTATTCTAACCAAACAAGAATATACCCCGTAAAGTTTTTGAAAAAAAGTTCTGTATACATATTGTCTAGAAAAAAAGGTAGAGGTTTGAATTGGGACTTTTCATTGGATGGTCTTCAAAGTTGGGAATGTCTATAATGATTTGAGACAGTTCTTGATACTTACTAAGTATAACCAAGAGGTTTGATAAGGAGTTTTTCATTGGACGTTTATCAATGTTGGGGAATGTCTGCAATGATTATGAGATTGCTCTGTATTCTCACTATCTAGGTATGGGGGGGGGTTCCTCATTGGACAGCTATATAAGTGACAGTTCTGTATACTCACTGTCTAGGTATGAGGGGGGGGGTGTTCTCATTGGACGGCTATATAAGTGACAGTTCTGTATACTCACTATCTAGGTATGGGGGGGGGGGGTCCTCATTGGACAGCTTTATAAGTGACAGTTCTGTATACTCACTATCTAGGTATGAGGGGGGGGGGTGTTCTCATTGGACAGCTATATAAGTGACAGTTCTGTATACTCACTATCTAGGTATGAGGGGGGGGGTGTTCTCATTGGACAGCTATATAAGTGACAGTTCTGTATACTCACTATCTAGGTATGAGGGGGAGGTCTGTGAGGGTGATGGGTGGGGGTCCTCATTGGACGGCCTTCTGACCACGTGTGTGTTGTCCAGCGTCAGATCTGGTCTTTTCCTTCTCCTGTTGTTATAAATGCAATTACTGTCTGTTAAACACTTAATATTTTTAAATACAAATAACATTTTCTAGCTAATTATATATTTTGATAATTAAAATTAAGCCATGGTTTAGATTTTTACTACAATTTTTCATATTTCTAAGCTAAATCATGCCTGAAAGTTAATTTCTTGTGCTCTTTAATTTACTTGTACAATGGACATGAATGGAAATGAAACAAGTCATTTCTGAGTGAAAAGGATTAAAAAAGATATAAATATTGTGTTGACACTAAATACTGTTAAGTTTACACTTCATATCCTTGTTATGGGTGAGATATTGACCCAATTCTGTAAATAAGAGCTTTTTTTCATTAGGAGGACAATTTAGGAGCCACTCAACTATCTAAATTCTAATTTAGTTTAAATTAACAAATTATCAAAGCAAATTAATAATTTACAAGTCACAGCAACATGTAATACACATTAATACTGTTATCATTATAAATGAAATCTAAATACATAGTATTTGATATATAAAAGTTATGGCATACCCTCTGAAGTTTGGAATAATTAAGAAGTATAATTTAAAGGGGGAGAACCCAGTGTTGCTTTGTGTTGCAATACAAACAGTACATGGTTGACAGACATAGTGAATATGGAATGTGATGATTTCTTATTGACACAAAATGTTAATTACGGTGCAGATTTAGGTACACAGTGTACATATCAGTGAAATACGCTTCCTTTCTTTAATGCCTTACAATCTTAGAGCAGTTCAATTTTATTGCATCCATTAGAAAATAGTATTGGAAATGTGCATGTTTTCAAAGCATCTAGATTTAGAACAAGCTAAAGTAAAAGACTGTTCATTCCACTTGCAAATCTCTTTCTTATTATGTAAGTATAATAACTGATCTCTATTTTTATCAAGCAAAATTTTGCATCACAAGCTTGAAGTTCTCAAGCCATATTATAGCAAGACCAGAGAAACTCTTGCTATCTAAAAACTAAAAAAAAAATTATCAACTAAAATGATTAATGCGTAGACACATATAAACCTAGTACACAATTTCAAATACAAGATACCGTTAACAATACATTCCTCTGATAATATAGTAAGAATCCCCTCTTTATGTATTATAGGATATACTGATCAGCTGTAGTAAGAAAAGTTACTAGAAACTACAAGCCAAATAGTAAAATTCAGAAAACAATCAGCGAGATTTTAATGAGAAAAGAAGCGATGGTCAGACATTCCATGTTAATGATGCCTTAATTAACACACCACAAGTAACACTCACTCTTCCGAATAGGACTTAATCAGAGGCGGATGGGACGGTCTAGTAATTAAGTGTTTGTTAAATCTAAAAGACAAGAAAACACACCAAAATCAGCGCCGTGCAGCTAACCACCAGAAAAGGAAACAAAATTAAAATTCAAAGGAAAAAATAGTAACATGTGCGATGATAATCTACAATAAGCATGTTTGACAATATTAAAAACTTAAATGACATGGAAAATCTCAGACAAGGAGTTAACTCAGACACTGATAAAATCATGTATTTACAATAAATGATTTAAATGATATAGTCTGTCCCAAATTCAATAATGTTGCAAAGGCCTTCATTAAAAAGTATTGTTTTTTAAGCCCCCATCCCATATCATCTTTTTGTTGACTTTTTTCAAAACCAATGAAAAAAAATTCAAAAATTGACCTAAGTAACACTATTCTGGAAATATCAAATTGCTAAAATGTTCTGTTTCTTGTCAATTTTTCCCCCTCACCCCCTATTAATATATCCAGCAATCTGAAAAGCAACATTAAGTACATAGATCTGACATTTCTTGATAATGTGATAAAATGTAACACACATATAAATGTAATCAGCTGAAGCCAGCATTCTACACAAACTGAAAACCCTGGATCCACCTACTTGTTGATTCCATCGTATTTGTTGATTCCATCTACATCCACCACTTTGATGTGGAGGTTGGTATGTAGATTGGTGTAGGACTTGCTTGTTGTCATGGGGACGGTGGTGGGGGGACTTTTGACTTTGATCCTGCTGGGTGGGGTACTGGGGATCAGTGAATTTTGTGGTAGTGGTCTAACTGTTGGGGGCGTGGCTGGAGGGGTAATTCTGTAAAGAAAATGTTCACATCATCATGACACGCAATTTAATACTGTAAAATGAGAAAATGAAAGAATTTTTGTTCTAAAAATATTTTAAAATGCATATTTTTCATTTGGATATCATTTACGGCAATCTGTTGTTTACTGTGAATATTCATCAAAGACATAAGCAAAAACATGTGTGTTTGTGTGGGGGGGGCTTGCAAAGAACTATATTAACCAAGTACAGAATAGAATAGAATATTTATTCAACCAATTTGGGCCCACAGTGGAGCATACAGAACAGTGTCCAAAATCATCACAGTTATACATATACAAAACAGAACAAAACAAACATTGTATAATGAGTACAGTAATTTTGGGCACACAATTTAATTAATACTGTAAAATGAAAAAATGAAAGAATTGTTGTCATGGGACGGTGGTGACTTTTGTACTGACCTGTACTGGCGTTCCTGGTGGACCGGTGAGGGTGATGAGGGGGTGCTGTGAGGTGGAGTGGGGAGGAGTTGAGAGTTCTCAGATGAAGTGGAGGGACGGCCTGATGAGGGGTTGTTTGGGGAACTGTTGTACGGGCTACTGGAAGGTGACCGGTACTGCGTCCAGTGAAGTTCAATATCGCTATCAGCCAGACCTCCATGCTGTTCACGACCTGTAATATCAGCAACATTTTTTAAAATAACAAAAGGTTTCTTAGGGCAATATAACCTGTCCATTATTTGAGGTTTCTGAATGCAATATTATTTGTCCATAATTTGAGGATTCTGAGGGCAATATTATCTGTCCATAATTTGAGGTTTCTGAGGGCAATATTATCTGTCCATGATTTGAAGTTTCTGGGGGGCAACATCACCTGTCTATAATTTGAGGTTTCTGAGGGCAATATAACCTGTCCATAATTTGAGGTTTCTGGGGGCAATATTACCTATCTGTAATTTGAGCTTTCTGAGGGCAATAATTACAGTGGAGCCTCATTTATCCGGACGTTTTCGTTCCTAATCAATTTGTCCGGATATGTGAAGCGTCCGGATATCTGAATTACCATTTAAATAAGATACAATAACATTAAAAAATTATGTTCCAGTTAAAAATCGTCCGGATACTGAAGCATCCGGATATCTGGCGTCCGGATATCTGAAGGTCCACTATACCTGTCCATAATTTGAGGTTTCTGTGGGCAATATTACCTGTCCATAATTTGAGGTTTCTGGGGGCAATATTACCTATCTATAATTTGAGCTTTCTGAGGGCAATAATTACCTGTCCATAATTTGAGGTTTCTGGGGGCAATATTACCTGTCCATAATTTGAGGTTTCTGAGGGCTGTGTTGAGCTTGGTGATGTCCTCCTCTGCGGTATTAAATCGCTGGAGCAAGCTTTGTACCTCATCCTCAGACATTTGCAGTAACATCCCCAGCTTGATGTCCCTTTTGAGAATCTCCTAAACAATACAAACAAAAATTTAATTCCTAAGTTCTACATGATCTACCTTGTTGATGTTTTGTTCCTATTATAGTACATTTCATCAAAGACTTTCAAATTTCCTGTTGCTGAAATTTCTTGGAACGTGTAGTCCAATTAAGAAAACTTTTTTTTATCGTATCTACATTCATCTTAGTCAGTCTGATTTATATTGTAATTAATGAGTTGACATTATCATGATTAATAGATTATACAATCAAAGTGTATCATTAAGGGTCAGCAATATTCAAGTTCCCCAAAGACCAAAACTATTTCCCAAGGCAAAGGTGAGAGAAATAATGCACTGAAAAGTAAATATGTGAATAGTTTTTCTTCTTTATAGTTATTCTACTAGGAAAAGAATATTCTAAATCAAATCAAATAAAAATTTCCTCCACAATGAATACGTCTAAGATAGGTTTGAAACTCAAACTAAGGGTGTGGGAGTTTTTAGCCCACAAAAATGACAAAAAGGGACAAATATAAGTGGGATCTTTAAATATAAACTGCTTACTGATTCAATTTTATAAAAGTTTATTTTTTCATAATTTAACAACATCAGTGCCAAAATTAGAATGATTCTTTGAAGTTCCTTAAACAGAACTTGAACTCAAGTGGAATACTTATGTTTATAGTTGTAAAACATGTATAATGCACTCCTACATCCTTCTGAGTAACTATATTATATCCAAATATGGAAGGCAAGGGGGATTCTAATTTCTAAACATGTAGATAATGGCTTCCTGATCACCTTGAGAACATTCATCCGATATTCCACATAAAAAAGACTTAAAACAATCATGACAAGAAAATATTCTAAAAAACAGATTTGGCAAAGTTTATTTATCATAATAATTAATTATCTAGAAAGAGATCTCTCAGATTATCCTCTATGACGTTTTGCTGTCTACTTATTGCCAGATAGTATAGCTGCAGTTCAATTTTTTTAATGAAAGATACTTTTATTTTTCATTGCTGCTGCTAAAGTCTCTGAACTTAACCCCTCCTCCCTTTTCAAAAAATTATTTGGTTGTAATTCTCTTACTCATTTAAGTCTGTTGTATCCCAATAACAATTCACTTGATAAACAAAAACTGAACTGAGAGTTTTCTCAAATAATACAAACTTTATTCCCAAGATTTTCTCACATCACCTAGTTAAATATAGTAACATAGTTGTTATGTACCTGTACGGCATTTTCTGGGAGGCCCACCACCGTCAGCCATTGGTCAGTTTTAGGATAGCCAGACAATTTCTCCTGTGTGTTCTCTGGATCTACCTTTGTTGTCTGTACTAACTGTTTACTAAACAGCTTCAGCAACTTACTCTGAAATCAGACAAAAATGACTTCTAATTTGTGTGATACAGTAATGAAATGTTTAATCATAAAGTCAACAGGTAAAAAAAAATTGGATCAACCGGGATTTGAACCTGGGCCTCTCACATGCTAAGCGAGAAACTTTCCCCTCGACCATCAACAAACTTGATCTAACGAGGAATTAAAATTATTAAAGCCAAACAATAGGTCACATAAATATTGTATACAAGTTTACATCACGTTCTACATTGTTTTTTTGTAAAATTTTGACAATGATGTTAACGTGGTTGAGGGGAAAGTTTCTTGCTTAGCGTTGTCAAAATTTTACAAAAAAAAAAACAAGTGTGTCCAGTTTAGTCTCTTCTAAACATTTTGACTTAAATATTAATAATGTTAGGCATCTTCTTTAGGCAATAGGGAGTTGACATGTAGAATTTAATTGCAAAGTTCAAAGGCCTCTTGAGTATCACTTGGAAATGATAGTATTACAGACAAACAGAAATAGAGCAAAACTGAGCAGGGCAGGGGGACACTGGGAGTTATCATCATGGTATAAAATTTAATTGCAAATAATTTTATTCTGGTTGTAACACTGTATTTGATTGGATAAAAAATTTACTTCATATCGTATAAAATGGGTTGCCTACGTCACAACGACTTTCGTCAAAAACGTATCAATCCGCCTTACGTTACATTCAAATTTTGTACAAATTGAAGTCATTTTGTTAGAAAAATCACCTTTTTTTCTTACATCAAATGAATGAAAATTAAATTATAAGGAATGAATTCAATAGCTACCCATTTTATACGGTATAAACTGGGTTGGAACAGTTTACGCTTTTTTATAAACCGCTTCGCGGTTTATAAAGCGTAAACTGCCCCAACCCAGTTTATACCATATAAAATGGGTAGCTATTAAATTCATTCCTTAAAAACTCAAAAGCTTCTTCAGATAATGCGCGTAAATAAGTTTTACACACCAAAGAAATGTATGAAATATGAATTTACCACCTTTACCTTTGACCTTTTGACCTCAAAAAAGACAAAATTAACTTTCAGTTAGGAATTTTCTTTTCTTATAAAGGGTTAAAATGAAACCAATAAAATTTCTATGTTCAACTAATGAGAATAAGATAATTCTTGTGTGATATCAAGAAATAATACTAAGCAAGTGTTAGATAGCATTATTATAGCACATTATTTAAACAAGATGCAGTGACTAACAGTATATGACAATGAATATAATGTGTTAATTGGGTAAATAAATGTATATATACTAAACAATGCATGTTCTGTTGTGATTGGGGACAAAGGTTCACACATGGTAACATCACACTGAGCCTAGCTGTCATTGTTCACCATTAGTCAGATTCACACACTTGTTTACGACGCCCTTCTAGGAAGTGAATCTTCTGAACAATACTGATGCTATAAAGTAGGGCAGTAAAACAATCTAGGACCTACGTACAAATTTGGTATTAATAATTACATGTAAGTCTCACACAGGTAACTAATGTTAAATGGCTACTGGTGTGTGGTGTGAAGCCTTCTGTGTTTATTTGGAATTCCTGTGAAAGGAATGCTTGGAATGTGTCATTTAAATATATCAACCACAAAAAGACCTGCCCTAGTCAAGGCGACAGTACTCAGGTGTCATAATACCCATGTCAACACAATAATGCTGGCAATGAGAACTCAGATATATAGCTGCAGAGTAGACTTAAAAGCTCTCAGAAATATTTCTGATTTCACAATTATTAGTCATTACGACAATGGATCACAGCAAAGACATTATCTAAGTTTAACTTTATAAATATATTGTATAATATTACATGTCTGTGCTGATATTGAAATGAAAATATGAGCATTAATATGATGATCAATATATAAGTACAGCCCCCCCCCCTCCTCCTTTATGGTACCCCTGACCCTGGGGCCTTGAAATTCACAATTCTTTAGTATTTTCCGCAATTATGATTATTATTTATATTTGCAGAACTTTGCCAATAGAATAAATTCTCAAAACGAAACTGCAAAATATGCTTACAATGTTGTTAATCACAGACATTTTCAATCACAAAAATACCCATTAATAGGTATTTACAATTAAGAAAAATGGACATTCTCCTAAAACAATTGCATTTTAATTATGATTTTTCTCAGAAAAATTTCTAAAAGAAGTTTTCATCATGCAATAAAGTGCGACTATGAACATTTATCTATATACATTATACACGTACATTTTACTTTAAAAGCTTGCAAGTTAATATTGCAATGATTGCATAAAACAGTGAAACCCCCCCCCCCAAATCAACACATTCAACTCCCTGTTCAAGCTTTACTTTTTTCAATTTGATAGACATGATATGTTTATGATATGATTCTTGACACAGATTTAATAATATATGTACATCTGTATGCACAAATCACATTTGTAAACAATGCTTACTATTTACCTTATAAACCAGTAATGTCAGTTATGTCATTATTAGGCAATAGCAAGTTTTTTTTCTCTCTGTTTAGCATCCATGTGCACATTAATTGGTTGCTGACACCTCAGACCACAAAACACACATGAAATTATATAATATTAATACATGTAATTAAATTTTTGGATGGAATGACAAGACCATTATGACAATTTTGGTATTTACATTGAAGAATTCAGTATTATCAAGAATCCTGCAAGAAAATAAATATCACAACCTTAAATTACACTAACTGATCAAGAAAATCAATGTAAATGCATCTACATGAATACTGAACAAATTTTTACAATTTTGAATTCTTTTTTTCCTTTGAATTAAAAAAAAAATGCAATTTAAATTTCATATTAAGGGACAGGGTACCCTTAGGGACAGATATAATATTAAGACAGGTAGAGTGATATAACTACTTCCTACACTTCCAATACCAGTCACTATAACATTACATATGATTACCATAGTAGGTCAATATGAAGTGTTATATAACAATATTCACTTCAAATCAAATAAAACTGTATATACCCACTTATGCACATGAAATACTGGTCCAAAGTGGTGTCAAGTACTGTGTCACATGTCAATCTGTATCATCTGTTTATACCTATACTTTTGGCTTATTCAACAAAAAGTCTTTTGGACTTAAATCTATGCGAAATTTAGAGAACTCGAGAAAACATATATTTTATTATCAAGAAAAATTCTAAATGTAGTAGATTGAATAATGCTGAGAACAGAAGAAATTCACCCCAACAGCGTGCAGAAAATCTTGCACCGTAAATTGCACCTTTTTCTCATTACAGGATCTGTAGCGTTATGGTCAAAGACTAATATATAAAACTGCAAGACTACAGTTCTGTAGCTACATGCTATTGCACTAGCTTGGGCTTGTGGGTTAAACCTGAAGTTCAATTTGGTTGAGCTCTGGACTGGCAAGCCAGAGGTCCAGGGTTTAAATCCAATTCAGGCTCAGAAGTATGTCTCTGCTACATTTGGTACCCACATTCGATCCGACTGGCTATTTTCAATGGCATCCCAAAAGAGATGGACATCTCAATCTCTGGAGGGGGGGGGGGGGGGGGGGGGGGGGGGGGTTGGAAATATATATTGCATCCTACTAGATTAGGCTAGTGAGCTAACCCTTCACTTAAAACAGTAGAGCACTTGTCTGGGGTCCCAGATTCAAATCAATGCTGAGGCACAAACATGTCTCTGTCACATTTCCAAGAACTAAGTAGTGGCAAGGAAAATTTCTTTCCTTCACTTTTGAAGCAACAGTGCATTTCCTATCTGAACAGCTAAAGGGTTTCAGGATTACTTGTTGAAATAAAAGTATTCTTTTCCCCATGATCAGACCTCAAGACCATAAACTGAAAACAGATTAAAGTCAAAATTTTGAATTTTCATATCTCGATTTTTATATAAAGTATTTGTAAGTCTGTTCACAATTTATGGTCTTGGGGCCAAATCCTGGTCATTGGCAAATAGAAACCTGCATGTAAGCCAATTTGATTTTCTGCTTGAAAGAGTATAAAACTATTTCTTTACCCGAGCATGCATTTAATCGTTTAATGGTGTTAAACTCAACATGAAAAAAAAATACACTTCTGGAGTATTTGTCAAAACCCAACAAAAAAATCTGCAAAATATTTAGGCTAACACCTCCCATAATCCATATCTTTAACAAGTGTAGCTACTCAGCCTACTGCACTGCTTGTTTTGTGTCTAAAATTCAACCTCTGTACTCACTTCTTGCTCTCTTATTTCATTCTGTGTTAAATCATTTGTGGCTGCACATTCATTTCGTAAACCTAGTAGCAGTTTGGCAGTGCTATCTATCATAGTTTGTATGAATTCCACATTTTTCAAAGTTTTCTCGACGATTTCGTTTTCTGCGTCTGATGAATCGGACATTTTGTCACCTAGTTATCGATATATACTGTTTCTGTACATACTGTCCGACAGTTTGAGACATTTACAATTCACGTCATCATTTGGATAAACATCAAACACTGAAGTCGGATGACAAACGACGGAAAATATCCAATGACTTTCGCCATCTTGAATCTTGTTTAAATCTCGTTTGTCACGTGATTTCGACGAGAGTTGGTAAACAAAAAAGCCGGGAAAAAATGTCAACAAAAGATAAAGATCCAACATCAACAGAAAAATCAAATCCTAATTTACCATGGTAACATTTTCTATTCCTTCATTATGTGTAAATAATTGTATATTTGAATAACTTTTTATTTAACATCATTAATCTTTGTGGTAAAGTTGTATATAACTTGTTATAGCATCAAAATCATGTGGAGAAAAGGTTAAACAAGTGTGTGACTTGCTCTATTATACTTTGAAAATTGGATTTATGTTAATATTTTACCTACTTTAAATGATGTTGAACACATTGATTCATTACTTATACCGTCACAGTATGGCTGATAGTCTCAGCCTTTTGCATGAACATATGTAACTAACAGGAAAAGAAAAATAGCTGGACTGGGAATCCAACCTGGGACCTGTATCATTAGTCAGGTGCTCTACCGACTGTCATTAATAAGGCTCATATTCATGACCAAAACCATTAAATTCCTCCCTCCTTTATTAAATTAAATGTCTTGGTCCTCAAAGACACAACCCAAATTTTTTGTTATTGGCCCCTGGCAGGACTTTAAACTGCAAGTCCAGGGGTGGACAATGGCACCAAATCTGTAATGGGAAAAGAGGAAATGTACAGCTGGATCAGGAATTGAACATGGTATGCCTGCATCACTAGTCAGGTGTTCTACCGACTGAGCTACCCAGGCTGATAGTCTGATATATATCACATGAATATCTAGGTCAAATTCTATTTTGGCAGAGTTATGCCCCTTGGACTTAGAAAAATTTCAATTATTTGCAGTTTCCGTTCATTTTCTTTGCAACCGTTGCTCATACTGAAATGAAATTTGGTATTCGGATATATCACATTAATATTTAGGTTAAGTTCTGTTTTGGGTATGATTGCACCATTTTTGACAGAGTTATGCCCCTTGGACTTAGAAAAATTTCAATTATTTGCAGTTTCCATTCATTTTCTTTGCAACCGTTGCACATACCGAGATGAAATTTGGTATACAGATTTATCAGATGAATATCTAGGTCAAGTTCTGTTTTGGGTATGATCCCGCCATTTTTGACAGAGTTATGCCCCTTGGACTTAGAAAAATTTCAATTATTTGCAGTTTCCGTTCATTTTCTTCACAACTGTTGCACATACTGAGAGGAAATTTAGTATACAAATTTATCAGATGACTATCTTGGTCAAGTTCTGTTTTGGGTACAATCATGCCATTTTTGACAGAGTTATGCCCTTTTGGACTTGGAAAAATTCCAATTTGGGAGGGGGGGGGCATAAGTGTTTTACAAACATCTCTTGTTTGAATACAGTGTCTTGATGATATTCTTTTATTTGTAGGGTTGAAAAGTACAGACCAAAACATTTAGATGAACTTATATCCCATAAAGACATCATTTCAACCAGTAAGCCATTTAACTTGTGTGATATATTTTTCAAGAAAACAGATAAATGGGTTTTTTTATGAGAAAATTCCTACATATAAGTTATATTGCCTGTCCATTTATATGAATGATATGATGTATGACACTCACTTATATCAAAACCCCCCAAAAAACCAACATTAAGTTTTTCCTGGTTCAACTTCATGGTGTTCATCGTAATTTGGCTTTTCTGTTGTCCTCTTTCAGTTGACAAATTTGTGAAAGAAGACAGACTTCCCCACCTGTTGTTTTATGGTCCCCCAGGGACAGGGAAAACTAGTACTATATTAGCTGTAGCCAAACAGATCTACTCCCCAAAGGAATTCAACTCCATGGTCCTAGAGGTGTGTATGATATTTAGATTCTATCATATTTTATTGCTACCTACTTGTTCCCCTTCATCAGAGAAATGACATTTAGAAAAATTAATAACGCCTTGCTCAATTTAGCCACAATGATCACATAATCAATGTTAATGTATATTTAATCCTTTGCTCTCGTTTTCAGTTAAATGCTTCTGATGACAGAGGGATTGGGATTGTACGAGGACAAATTCTGAGCTTTGCCAGTACAAGAACCATCTTCAAGTGAGTAGGAACTATTATTTCAAACTCTAAAAATTGTCATCCACATTTAGTGGGGAGTCAGAGTGAATAAATTTTAAAAAATGGAAAACCCCAAAGTAACATGTTGACCATGTCTTAAGCACATTTGAAAATTGAAGGTTGTTGAAGTAATTTTAAAGTTCATTCATTTTTTCCAAAGTGCTTTGTTTTCACCTGCTGTTAAATTCATTTTAAGTCTTAAAAGTTAAAATGTATCTGAAGTTTTGAAGTGCATGTGCATGTATTTCAGATCTGGATTTAAGATTGTGATATTGGACGAGGCAGATGCCATGACACGAGATGCACAGAATGCCTTACGAAGAGGTACAATGTTTAAGCTTTACTAGTCACAAGGGTTACATTTGTAAAAGATATTCAGGGGTTCAAAATTCCTCAAGCCCGACGTCCCGGACTAACAAATTCCGGATCCGAACTCGGCATTTAGAATTCGCCAAAGTCCTGGGACTTGGCTAGTTTCTTGTTTATCTTCTTTTTAAGTTAAAAAAATGATTGAAAAGCTAAAAATAAAGCAAATTCTCAAACATATTAAGTGAAAATGTGGGTTTATGGGCGTTAAAATACCCATAAAACATTACGAACGTTTCGAAAATACAATCCGTCTTTTTTATTTTTCGTTGTGGTTAGACTCTTGCTTTTACGCAGTTCCTCATGTTTCCTCCTACATGACAAACGGCAATGAGTTTGTTAAATTTCGGTTTTACCAGCAGTAATGTCATAGCTGTGACTTGCAGCACATTCTAATTTCTATTTTAATATTGTAACAGATGGTTTATTCAGTAGTGAGTATTTGTAAAAGTTATTGTAATGTACCAATAATCTATCAGTCTGGTATTGTGTTGAAATACTCATGTATGACTATGTGACAGTTTATAGAGGAAAAATAAAACATATATTAATACATATAGTCTTTATTCATTCAATGCAACAAATGAAAATAAATTATAAGTAACATAAGTTTAATGATGTATAGGTAAATATGGACTCTGAAATTTCTTCCTCGGACTTGCCTAAAATTTACTCTAAGTCCTGGATTTTACCATGACAAAAAAAAAATTTGAACCCCTGATATTCTGTGAATTATAAGAATGAAATGAAATGTAATTGTAAACTTTTCCATATATGAATTGAAGTAAATGTTCAAAACAGCAACATAATCTGTACTGGTATTAAACAAATATTTATGTATTATTTACATTTGAGAATGCTTTGTTATAATATTTCAGTAATAGAGAAATTCACGGAGAACACTCGTTTCTGTATAATCTGTAACTACCTGTCTAAGATCATCCCCGCTCTTCAGTCCCGATGTACCCGATTCAGATTTGGACCTCTGGGTACGGATCAGATGGAACCTCGCCTACAACATGTTATAGAGCAGGAAGGGTACGGAAGCATTCTTATGCTTGTTACTGTATAGGGGGAAAATAACTCGCGGTGTTAACATTCGCTATATTCACGGTGTTAATAAAGAAAGAAAGAAAAGTTAAGAAACAGTGAATAAATTTTCAATAATCTCCAGGTTTTATTTGGAAATTTGAGAATAGACAACGATAGGGCTACATACATGTATGCGAAGTACATTGTCATTTCGGCTGGTAATTACGAGTAGTACTCGTCATTCAATTAATTGAATTATCACACTTAACTTAAATTCAAATCAGCAGATAATAACCCGTATTTGTTAAACAAGCTGTTTGAATAACCAACGCTACATGTTTCATCAATCAAAACGTGGGCCATGGGTTTTGATTATCCGTGCGTAACTAATGTTACCACATGTATTTGTTACTGCATTATCATGCATGCATGAGTTTTTATCAATATTTTGGTTTTAAAAAATCATTCAAATAACTATAGAACTTACTGAAGATGTGGAAGGATATTTCGTCGACCTTTTCCAACATTAACACATTTATTACCGTTGAGTGTTTTTTCGTTGCGTTGTATTGAAGATTTTAGGGTGTACACACACTCATTGTAATAGCAATAGGAAAGACATTTGATGTTTAGAGTCAAGGACTTTTGATAACTGCAGTTGTTTTAATTAATCGTCAATTTTTTTTATATCAAGTCTAATTATTTTATTTAAACCTACCCCGTTGTTCGTGAAATAAAGTCATAACACTGATTATTAGTATCATTTACATGTAGCTACGGTATTGATAAATGGATATAGACAAGGGAGGTAACTTTTATTATGTATCAATTCCGCGAATTCAAGAAACCGCGATTGTGTCAGATGAGAGAAAAACGTGAAAATTACAACCCGTGAAATTAATCCCCTATACAGTATTTTAACTCACCAGACTCCCAGTTTTGGGGAAAGTCTGCTCAAAGATTTTCTGTCAAACTAAAAGTTCCAGTCAGAGCTAAGACTAGTTAAGCAATGAACCACTATTTTTTGAAAGATATAGTCTCATAACTGCAACAGAAAGTGCATACAAATTGAATAACATTCTTTGTGGAAATTTGTTTGCACCAACCATTGACCTTTTTACGGTACATCTTTCAAAAGTTCATGATGCTTTGCTTACAATACATTTACCGTACATTTTAACTTTCTATCTTATCTTTATATTTACATTTTGAATCTGTATTTTATCTGCAAATGTGATTTATATGTTAAAATTTTGGTAAATCCTTTGAGTAAATTACAATGAAAGGAAGAGCCAGTGCAACAGGTTCTGTTTACTTTTGAATTTTGCTTATGACTTAGCACTTGCAAAAGTGTGTTCATGGTTCAGTGAGGACAAAATAAATTATAGTGAATACATTTAATCGTTTGACCTCCTGTCT